ACTACAGCAGACTTTGAGACCAGACAAACCATCGATACCCAAACCTCAGATACAATAATATATGAATGAAACACAGTCTTGGGATACAATCACAGATTTATTGAAAACAAAAGTAAAGTGCAAAACCAACAGTTTACAAAGTCGTATGTACGTATGTCAGAGACCAGGTCCAGACCAGGTCCAGATGAGGAGACTCGTTACTCGTTGGTAATCTCCACACTTATGGAAAGGCATTATCATACAAATATACATATATATCAGACAACTTAAATACAAGCACAAAACAGAATGACAACACGTGAATACTGCAGATAATACGAGATAAAGCACAGTAGCACAGGGAGGACGTTAGCTTAGCTGCTATCGATAGCTAAATTAAGTTAATTGTAGCTAGCTCACTGTGTACAACAGACAATCGAACATTTACACAGTAAATACATTTCAGTGAGAGCTTTAACGGGATTTGTAGCTAACCAGTTATTTCCAGGATTACCACAGACTAGTCACAAATCCAGAGCTGATCTCCCTGAAAACTGTGTTGAACAATGTCACTTTACCTCATGTCACTTTACTTATATACTTTTTATCCTGCACTATTTAACTGTACAGTATATAACTGCACTACTACATATATATATATATATTTTTTTACTGGTATTGAAGCATTTTCAGCATCTACAGCTAGTTATGTTAGTTAAGAAACATAGCTACTACTTATTTGTATATAGTGTATATATTGTGTGTGCTCCATGTGTGCTCTTACTACTGTCCTATATGTGCGATGCAACATCGAAATTTCCCCACTGTGGGACGAATAAAGGAATTCTTATCTCATCTTATCTTAACCTTGAGCTGCCTTTGAATTCTTTCTTTGGCCTGAAGAGAGGAACGTGTGGACCTCGTCCACCGACCAGGACCAGGACTTTTGGGGCTTCTGTGCAATTCTATTTCTCTGGAGTGAGGAGGACGTAATGTAGCCGAAACAGAGCCGAGCAGAGCAGCCTGTTTTAAAGATGGCTGTTGAGTTGTTTTTCCCAAAGGGTCAGATGTCGCTTCCAGTGACGACACTCGTTGACCAATCAGTGTAAGGCAGTGGGCCGACGTGACGTCATGGCACGGGTACTATGGGGATGGAACCACGGCTGAGGCAGTACGGAAAAGTACTCAAATCTCCCATACCATCCACTAGTGGAAACGCAAAATAACCGTGCTGAAGCGTACTGTACTGTACCGTACTGATACTGTGGAAAAGCGGCAAAACTCCCCCACCACGTTAAGGTGACAGTCCAAGGGGGAGCATGATACTCAGCATAGTTTATTATTATAATTGCTTTTTTGCAGCATAAAGATTGGTTGAATTGTAGTTAGTTATTGCTCCATAATTCCACACAGTAATTTAGGTATGGGAGAAGAGGGAATTGTACAAAAGATGGAGTGAATTTTGATTTACAACTGCTATAATTTTACACATTATGCCAATTATTTTTTATACTTTTGTTTTCAATTTAATCTTAAAAGCACTCCCAGAAATTTGGTATGACACACCCTCTCAATTTCAAATGGTATGTTTTAGTTTCATTACACTACCAATCAGAGGTGGGACAAAGTCATTGTTTAGCAAGTCACAAGTCAGTCTCAATTCATTGCCCTCAAGTCCCGAGTCAAGTCACGAGTCAAGACAGGCAAGTCCCGAGTCGAGTCCAAGTCAAAGGCCAACAAATCTCAAGTCAGTCCCAAGTCCTACGGTTTGACTTTCGAGTCCTCTCGAGTCTTTTTGACCGCGATTTGTTTCTTGTTGGTCTCCACGTACTTTTGTAGGCAAACAAAATAATGTTAGGAATCATTTTGCTGGTGCATTCTCGTTGGTCTCTGACCCATGGACTAACAGTTTGTTCCATGTCGTTGGGCTGCTGATAAATCAAAACTATCTACGTGATCTAATTGGATGTTGTGCCAGATGCAGGCTCAGTTACACATGCACAGACCACACATAAAATCAGAGCAGTCCGTGTCAACATACTTTTTATCTTTGGGGTTTTTAATGGGAAGTAGCAAGTGCAGCATATATGAATATGAGTATTGGGCTAGGACCTGTATCTATATAATCAGTTTAATGTCCGTAGTGGTTATTGTTCCAAATGTCCTACTGTAGAATAGGGGTAGTATGAGGGGTCTAGGCTTTGGACCTGGGGCAGCTCGCCATCAACTGGACCAGCATTAGCAATATCTCATAATTACCAATATATCATTACATAATAAAATGTCTCATATAAATTAATTCAATCAGTCAAAGCACTGATTCTCATATCAATGCACCATAAACAATAGTGCAAATATTAATCTAGCTTAGTGCACATAATCAAAACAACTATCTAATGTGTATGCAAACTTTAGCAGGATGAGCACAGCAAAAACATACTCATAATAATAGGCCTCGGCGCCCACACAGAAAAATATAAGAAAGAGCCAACAGAGCAGCGCAGGCTAGCGCTAGTTTGACTCACCAGTTCCTCTTTAAAACACGGCACACAGTGTGACAACTGCGTCGATTCAATTGTATGAGGCGCCTGTAGTGAAAGCATATCAATTACGGTTTGTAGAACAAAGTATGACGTTAGGTCGCGATAAATACCTGCAGCTCGCTCATTTCCAGCTCCCCTAGACAACACACCCACCGGTGAATGCAGTCCGCTTGTTTAGGGAAGTGTTGCTGCTCGAACTGCCTGGAACTCACGTTCGAACTCTCTCGCGAGCGCTACAACTACCGCGAGGCTTTGTTTCTTCAGAGACGGCATAGATAGAAAGAGAGATGCGGAGAAAGGTAAAAATGGCCCGGGTTACGCAAGTCTTTACAAGTCAATTGGCGCAAGTCCAAGTGAAAGTCAGAGTCATTGATGTTAAAGTCCAAGTCGAGTTGCAAGTCTTTTTATATTTGGTCAAGTCGAGTCTAAAGTCATCAAAATCATGACTCGAGTCTGACTCGAGTCCAAGTCACATGACTCGAGTCCACACCTCTGCTACCAATTTCTCTAGTACCAAATACAACACACAATATATATATATATTTATTTATTTTTTTCATAGACAATTAGTTGTAATCAAACCATCTTTTTAGTATGTGTAGTAAATATGTGTTTTAGTATAGTGTTTGTTTACAGTAACCATGAGCTGGCCCAGAGTAATAGAGGCTGGTGTCATCAGCAAAGAGAATACACTGACATCTGCAGGACCTCGCAGATGTCATTTATATACAAAATAAACAATTTGGGCCCTAGAAAAGAGCCCTGTTCTAGGGCCCAAAGTTATAAACAATTCATATTGTTTATAAGGTAACTTTTTAGCCCAACACACAAGCAACTCCTCTGATGCCATATTTTCGATAAAAGTAACTGATGATTGATTGCACTGTTGTGGAATTTCTTCACAGACCGAGAGCAAAAATAATGTAAACAACCAAGAGCTGTAATACAATCAAAGTGTGAGTTTATTCATTAGTAAATGTGCACATATACAATGAATAACAGAACCGATACCACCTTGCAGCCGTCTGGAACCAACTGCCACGCATGAGGAAATTACGGACATTAAATAGACCAGAGTAAACAAAGACATATCTACTCTAGATATTACACAAATTAAGTCAACATGGATATTTGTCGCTCAAGGCTTCTCCTTACGCTTCCTTACGCTGATACAACTCTGATACATAATCTGCTTTGACCTGAACACATAGGAAGTATGATCACATTAGTCCAGTCCTCAGGTCTCTGCACTGGCTTCCTGTGGCTCTGAGAATACTTTGAAACAGCTCTGCTTGTTACAAGTCTCTCCATTGTCTCGCACCAAATTATATCAGTGACATAAACCAGCCCGGACTCTGAGGAGCACAGGGACTGGACTCCTGTTAGTGCCCAGAGTCAGAACTAAACATGGGGAGGCTGCATTTCAGATTCATGCTACTAAAATCTGGAACAATCTTCATGAAAGTGTGAGACGGACATCCTCTCTGACAGTTAAAAACAGTTCTGTTTAGCTGTGCATACAACTGAGGGATTTTATATTTTTTTACTTTTTTACTTTCTTTTTAATGTAATGTGATTGTTTATGATTTGAATGCTATATTATTTTGTTCAGCACTTTGAGTTGCCTTGTGTATGAAATTGTGCTATACAAATAAACTTCCCTTGCCTTACCATTGGTTTTTTTATTGTTTTTTTATCTTTTATTTTTTATTTATAATTGTATTTCTTGTACACAAACCAAAAGTGAACAAACAAGTAACCCCCCCCCCCAAAAACACCAGCATTCTCACAACTAATCTGTAACTTGATTAAATTAACAGTTTTTTTCCTTGCCATTGTTCTTAGACACAGATATTGCCGAAGATATGTAGAAAACCGTCTCCCATCTATCAGCTGACCTTGCTGCCAACAGCATAATGTGCTGTATTTGAATCCAGAGTTGACTATTAGTTCATAACTTACACTTATAACTATTTGATGTTATTTCAGATTTTTTTACTAAAAGATTTCTATAACAGTATCAAAGGCTTTGCTAAGATCTATAAAAAAACTCCCTAGTAATGACAAAGTTCTCTGACCCACTCACTCTTATTAATATTAGAACAATAACTCTATCTAGAAGAAAGAAGAAGCACAGGGTACCTCACTTTTTTGTGCGAAAACACATTTTTTGCCCCAATGAAATATTTTTTATTTTTTGTGAACTTGATAGAAAGAGAACCTGTGAGTTTTTATTTGACGATTTGGGCTGGGCGCTGATTGGTGTGAATAAGTGTCTCTTATTCACTTTTTTGTCTGAAGAAGCTGATCCAAAGATATGACATGGCTCACAATAAATGCATGTGAAAACTAGCTATAGAACTGTTTTCAAAGGAACTAGTTGGATTCATTTCATTATTGAAATCAATCCAATTATTTCACATATTGTGTGGTTTGAAAGTCAGGTACTTTAATTATAAATTCCCCTGACATTTGCAGGTGCCGATGGCCAGGGCCAGTATCCTGTGGCTGATTGGGGAGTACTGTGAACACGTCCCAAAGATCGCTCCTGACGTCCTGAGGAAAATGGCCAAATCTTTCACCAACGAAGAAGACATTGTGAAGCTTCAGATCCTCAACCTGGCGGCGAAACTCTATCTGACCAACTCCAAACAGGTCACTCACAAAAAAACTGTTTAATAAAAATAAAAAAAACACTATAGCCTCATTTCCACTCTGCAAATCATCAGAATTTTTATTTAAAAACCTTGGGCACGTCCTCCTTCCACACTGAGAAACACAGGCTGGTGCATCAGAGCAACACAACATTTAACCTACCTCGCAACCTAATCCTTTTGCCAAAGCATTTTCAAATATAGCAGTAATTAAGACAAAAATTAAACCAAACCGTCTAATAATAAAGTAAACATATGGCGCACCTCCGTGAACACATACGGCTGTTATATAAAGTCTCTGGAAGGTCTCTGTATCCAGAGACCTTCCAGAGACTGCATTATTGGAGAAGAACTTTACACAAAAAAACTCTAGCTTAACTCAGTTAGCAGAGGGAGAGAGGTGCACAATTAATCTTACCTACAAACACTTTCTTATTTATTGTTTTTATGGCCTCTCTTCTAGACCAAGCTGTTGACCCAGTACGTCTTGAATCTAGCGAAATATGACCAAAACTATGACATCAGGGACCGAGCACGGTTCATTCGTCAGCTCATTGTCCCCACAGAGAAGAGCGGCGCCCTGAGCAAGTACGCCAAGAAGTTGTTCCTCGCCCTAAAGCCTGCTCCAGTCCTCGAGTCTCCCTTTAAAGGTACCAAAGGCTGAGTTCTGTGCTTTCATCTGCATGATAAAAAATAAGAATTACAATGTTGTAACATGACTTAATGACTCAAGGAAGTCAATAATAATGCAAAATTTGTGTCTCCTTTAAGACTGCACTACGGTTTTTACGCATTTTCTTCTGTTGTATCTAGACCGAGACCACTTCCAGCTGGGTTCTCTGTCCCATCTGCTGAACGCCAAAGCCGGGGGGTACCAGGAGCTTCCAGAGTGGCCTGAGTCCGCCCCCGACCCCTCCGTGCGCAACGTGGAGGTGAAGGAGTCTGTGCGTGCCGTGGAAACAGTAACATACAGAGACACACGGGACACACCTCCAAATGTCCCGCCCAGAAGAGGGGTGCTCCAGAGTCCCACGAGACCCTCCTACTCCAATATAACATTTAACATTCCTCCCTGAAAATCATGCTCCATTAACTTATGCTAGCATCCTATTTGGCCTGTGCAAATGGATGCAAAGGCTCGCAACAGTGGGCCTCCATCTTGCAGTTGTCAAGGAGGGAAAGAAAATTATAGTTGAAAATTAAAACACAAATAATCCCACTGAATGACTGCTTTCACGCTGGTTCAAAGCATAGACTGAATATAGATGGACAATGCTAACTCCCGAGCTCAATGAAGGCCAGTAGGCTACTACTCTAGCACAGTAACAATTAGTGTCACACTTGATCCCGGTGTTTATACTGTGATATTGTCTTTGTAGATTCACATATGAGCCCTAACAACTCACTTTCCAGGTTGTTTTCACTCGCCAAATTTGGCTGTTGTTAGCAAGAAGCGTGTGCTGCAACATTCCAGCGCTGCTCCTGATTGGCTCTTGGTTGCTAGTTTGTTGCTACTAACATAATTTGCATATCAGAATCAGAATCATTTTTATTGCCACGTAAGTAACAGGAGGTCACAGACTTGGAAATTCCCGCTCTCGGCCAGTCCACTTCTAATATGGCTCAAACGGGTTTTCATTGATCAAAATGTTATGACAACACTAAGGCTAGGAAACTGTCCTAGTGCAATTGATTGTTCCAAATGAATGTAAACCTGGGTGTATTGGTGGATGACATTTGGAGACGTCCCACTTAGACCTGGGGGATATAGAAACAAATATCCAAACATATCAAGATTTATTTCCCCATATTGAAAAATCTGGATCTTCAATTTTATATATTGTTTTCCTTGAAAGAAAAAAAAAACATAATTTTTATATTCAACACAAAGTTATAGTAAAAAGTTACAAGTTACAAGATGCCTTTGAACGTGTCACATTGCAGACAAGAATTAGAAGTTTGACACATATTTACCAGGAAAGATTTTTCAGCTGCCCTCCTCCACCACCACAGTGCTGCGATGTAGACTCGGGTCTGAGTGGGAACGCCTAATAGAGTTAATTTGTTTTGCCCATGTTTTGTAATGAATGATTGTTGCTGTATCGGACTGTTGTGGTGAAGGGGGAGCGGCATCTGCAGTCAAAGCTCTAGATTGACTACTCTATGTCTGGTCTATGTTCCCACCGAAGACCAAAAGATCGAGCTGGCTAGAAGTAAACCGGCATGTTTGAGTCCAGTGTGAACGCAGCCATAGTCACTTTCTGCAGCACCTTCTCAATGTCCTCTTTGTTTGAGCCAATCGCACATTTGGAAAAAAGATATATTCTAATTTACGAATAACATCCTATTTCCTCCTTATTCCATCACACTCCTGTCATGTGCCATCGGTTCATTCATAAACTACATGTCTGTGTTTTAAGTGCAAAAATCAAAGCTTGAGTGCATCACAGATTCCACAATTCTTGAATCCTAATGTGACCTCAAGGCTTGATTTAGTTGTCGTTGGTTTGATATATTTAACATAACTATTTTTACTTTCAGTGCCATTTATTAGACCTGTTTGAAGTATGGTGAAGATGCTATACATCACATCGTTCAAGGAAATAGGATAGACATGCAATTATATTTTGTCCAGTTTAAGTCCAAGTTTTGTCATTAATTTGAGAAACTTAATAGAAACATTATTAGGTAGTCTCTAATTAGGTAGAAATTTCACTTTAGATTGAATCGTATTTGACAGTGTGATATCCCAGTCATATATGACAATATTGTTATATTTATGGCCATATTTAAGACCAACACTGCAATTGTGATGTGATTATCGAGGTTTTAAAAAGTGCTTTCTTTTGTTCAGAGTAAAAATAACTAAGAAAGTTCCATTTGAAAAGTGTACATAGGAAGTCACAATTCACACACATTTCAGCTAGTAGTACAACCTTTTTATTGTAGAAATAAAAGATTCACTGCAAAAAATATATGCCAACGCTTGAATTACAGTACGCAGTTTATGTTCTTACAGTAAGAACTGAGTGTACAACACATTTGGACAGTTTATATAAATTATGATAGAATAATGTTTCTGCCATCAGCAAGACCAAAGATACTAGTTCCATTGACAAATACCAGAGATATACCTTCGAGAGACCAGAGAGAGAGACCAGGGAGAGAGACAAGAGAGAAAGAGAGAAAGAAGTGCACTCTCATTACTGGCTTTAAGAAATTCAAAAAAAAATTAATCCCACTGTTTACAATTTGTCTGTAAAGCAAGTCCTTGCCTTACAGATTACTCTGGACATTGTGATCAAAGAATATCAAATTAAGTATTTATTTTATGACAACAACCATAAAACTCCCCTCAAACTCACCCCGGTTTGGAACCCCGGAGGAAATTAGATTATTTTGTGACATAGACCAAACGAAAAGCTTGGTGCTCAATGATGCTAGGGAAGGAAAGGTGGCTAGGGATAGGGAAGGTAAGGTGGGAGGGAAGGGCCCTGTCTTGTCTTGGTATTCCACATGGTAGGTCTCAAAGGAGCCACCCTCCAGGGGGTACTATGAAAAAGCGGAACGATTTTGAACTCAATATTTGAACATAGATGTCATGTGAGATCGTGTCCGAGTCAGAGCAAGATTTACAGTACCTCTTTGTAATACAGTTTTACACAGTGGATGTTGTTTCCCTTCTACAGACCGAAGAGGTCATAAACAACAGCGACAGCCGCATCGGTCTGCTGGGCGACTGGAGAGAGGTGCTCTGTGTGTGGATGCAGTGTCTTTACAAACTTTTACTTTTTAATATTTCATCATCTTTTTGACTCCTCTTCAATGGATCTGATTGAGACTTTCTTCAATTTACGGTTTACATTAAGATGACTGTGTTATTGTAGACTTTTAAGGGGCTGCATTCAAAATCTTATCTCTATCCCTTTTTTATCGCTTGACTTTGAAAAATTAAATTGAGAGAACCAGTGAAATGTAGTACCTTTTAAAGTCTGAAACCAGCTCTATACCCTTCATTGGGTACTTTAGGGTCATGGAAGCTTGCCTCGGTCCTCATGTGCTTTGTGGATTTGGAAAAGACCTTTGACCATGTTTCATGGGGTGTCTGTTGGGGTGTGTTCTTTGGGGGGTTCTCCGGGAGTACGGGGTTCTTTGCTGAGAGCTGTCCAGTCCCTGTATGACTCGAGTCAGAGATGTGTTCGCATGGCCGTCAGTTGGGATGCATGTTGCTGCCCTTTGTCACTGGTTCTGTTCACTGTTTTTTGGACAGAATTTGAAGGTGCAGCCAGAGGCCAGAGAGAGTCAGGTTTGGGGACCACAGACTGGGGCCAGAGGAAGTGTTTTTTTGGGGCCAGAGACAGGGGCCAGTGTGAGTCTGGTTTGGGGACCTTAGTATTTAATAAGCTGTGTGTGGATGATGTGTCTTGTTAGCTTCTCTGACCCCGTCACCTCCCCTTTTTCCAGTAGCCGTTTTCAATGATTTTCACAGATTTTCAAGACCCACAGAATATTGTGTACTATGACTATGTGACATCTAAAACCAGATTCTGAAAGATTGGACTGTCTATTTTCATCAGCAAAAGGAAGTTTGTTTCTTCAGCAGTCTTTGACAAAAAGTTGAGAAAACAGACACACCATGCAGAACAGTGATTTTAACACTATTTTGTTTCACTTAAGTGCCTCCTCATACATTTCCAGTTTTCCATTCTATAAAACAGAAAAAAAAAAACTTGTTTTTGACTGCAAAATTATATGTTTTATGGCCAACACACCTGTTGCACCCCTGAAACAGGGAGAAAAAGATCACGAGAGTGATTTACGTGTTTTCCTCATGCGTGACTTTAATGCAATCCAGTCAAGAATAACAGCATTTAGAATTTCACTCTTCTCAGAACAACAAAAGTGCGGTACAAAATGGCGGAGCGCTGAAGAACAGTTGGGCATAACGTCTCTAAATTCAAACGCACACAACGACTTACTAGCTTCTAAAAACACATCTTTGAACAGGAAAACACCTTGCAAAGTACACACTGACACATTAATAGTAAATCCTCTGCTCTTTACCTGAAACAGGGAGAAAAAGATCACGAGAGTGATTTACGTGTTTTCCTCATGCGTGACTTTAATGCAATGAGGATAAACAGCGGAAAGTCCCTCTTGTGGTGCGCGCAGGCATGACCAGTCAATCGAGAGTCCAAGACCTACTAGCTGATCTAACAAATAAACTATAATGCTAAAATATTAATAATCATGAAACATTTTAACATACTTTTAAAACTGTATCTATATCGTGCATTAAGGTTGTGTAAGTTATTAATTATTCTGAACTTATTATTTTTAAAATAACATTGTGAATAACCTATTACACTCTCCCCCACTTGAAAGATGTCGTCCCGACATACTACAGAAAAGCACCAAAATCCTTTCAGTCGATGTTCACTCATTAGTCCATCAATCCAAAAACAAACCGGATCACTCTCATCTGTGGGCTTTACCCATTGCTTCACCACAGTATATGACTGAAGGTCGAATCTTTTATGAGCATATGCGAATCTCCATAATAGCAGTCTTTTGTCTGTGTGTCCATGAAAGGAAAAGTAGTATGACAGTCTTTACAGTTCTAATCCGGAAGTGTCGACTTACACCTGTTGTAGTCCATACATACCGAATGGTTGTGGGTAGTATGGCTGTAGAGCTGAAAACCACGGGATCAGACCTGGATACACAGGAATCAATTGTGGCGCAGGCTGGATGGTGTAGCAGGATGGTGTTCCCAGATGGTCGTAGGTCATTCGGCTCGGCGGGTGTCTCTCTCGTTGAGGGCGCTGGGGTATCAGCTCATCGGGTCCCTCAAGCACAGCAGGCGGTGGGGGGGCCAGTGGATTAACCGCAGTCGGATCAGCCTCCTCACGAGCTGGCTCCTCAGCAAGCAGCTCCGGCACGTCCAGGGGATCTCCACCAGTGACCTCTGGTGGTATAACAGGAGCTGGTGCTGGAGACTGACCTCTCACTACAGCAGGGCCTCTTGTTTCAGCAGGATCTGATGGCTGGAGCATGGTAGGCAAAGGTGGCACATAGTAAAAGCTGCACTCCTCACTGCTGTCATCATCAGAGTCCTCAATGTCTCTAGCCGTTTTGTCCCCCTTTTTCTGTTTTACAGGATTGTCTTGTTCTGGGTCTGACTCAAAAGGTAAACAATCACATGACATAAGTAAATTTCTGTGTAGCACTCTAGAGCGTCCTTTGCCTCTCTCAGGTTTAACCTCATAGATCGGGAGGTCAGGCCCCATTTGTCTGACTACTGTATGGATAGTGTCTTCCAAAAAGTTTTTTATTTTTCCTGGGCCTCCCCTTGGAGTCAGGTTTTTGACCAGGACTCTCTCACCGGGGTGGAACACAAAACTCCTCACTCTAGCATCAAAATGTCTTTTGCTTCTTTCAGCAGATTTCTTTGCATTCTCATTTGCAATGGCATAGGCCTCCTCCATCCCTCTTTTCCATCTTTCAACATAGTCTCTGTGGTCACTAAAATGGGTGTCTGAATACAGTCCAAAGAGCATATCTACTGGTAATCTGGGTGACCGCCCGAACAGTAGATAAAATGGAGAGTAACCAGTCACTTCACAGCGTGTACAGTTGTAAGAGTACATCAGCTTGTTGATAGACTCCTTCCAGTTCGACTTTTGTGTTTCAGTTAGTGTCTTCAACATTTGTAACAGTGTCCGATTCATGCGCTCAACTTGACCATTTCCCATTGGATGGTACGGTGTTGTCCTGGAGCCTGCAGTGCCACTGAGTTTCTTGAGCTGAGAGAATAACTGATTTTCAAATTCACCGCCTTGGTCATGGTGAATACGGCAAGGGAAACCAAATTTCAGGGCATAATCATTGAATATAAGATTTGCTGCGGTTTTCCCTGACTTTGAGGTTGTGGCATAAGCTTGTGCAAAGCGGGTGAAGTGGTCAACAATCACTAAAATATATTCATAACCGCCTTTGCATTTGTCAAGATGGAGAAAGTCTATACACACAAGTTCAAATGGCTGGGTTGTTACAATATTGATCATAGGAGCTTTCATATCACGGCTAGGTTTCTTCTGTTTAACACATGAGCAAACTTTGGTCACATAATGTTCAATATCTGATTGCATGTATGGCCAAAAGAAGCGGTCTCGTATAAGGGACACTGTGCGGTCTACACCTTGATGGCCCATACGGTTGTGCAATTCTTCAAGCACGGTCTTTTTAAACTTTTCTGGCAGGACAAGCTGTTTTCGGGCAGGCGTGGCTCTGTAGAGAATGCCATCCCTGTCAAGCATGAGTTTTTCCCATTCTCTGAACAGACATTTTGTTTTGGGGCTGAATGTGTTTACTATTTTGGTCAGTGGTCTTGAACCTGACTGTTTACATTGTAATACAGGACTTATAAACGGATCATTCTTTTGAGCTTCCCTTAAGTGGTCTTTCGGAATGGGTCTGAGTGATGCTATGGCTGGCTCACCTTGTGTTGTGACTGACACGGCTGCAGCTGACAATGTCCATGTGGCCAAGTGGTCATTTTGTACCTCCATGGCCTGAATAGCAGCTGAAATGGAGTTAGGAGGGAGTTCCTCTGAACAGTCTTTCATTAGTGTCTCTACATCAAGGGGCAATCTTGATAGCGCATCAGCGTCACCATTGTCTTTTCCAGGTTTGTATTTTATATCAAAGTGAAAGTCAGCGAGCTCTGCGACCCATCTCGACGTGGTTGCATTCAGTTTTGCTGTTGACAAAATGTATGTTAGCGGGTTGTTGTCGCTGAACACAGTGAATGTTGGGGCATAGTATAAATAGTCTCTAAATTTGTTTGTGATAGCCCATTTTAATGCCAAAAACTCTAGCTTCCCAGCATGGAGGTGGTAGTTATTTTCTGCTGCAGTTAGTGTGCGGGAGCCATAAGCAATAACTCGAAGTTTACCATCTTGTCTTTGATACAGCACTGCACCTAGACCTTGGTGTGAGGCGTCAGTGTGCACAATAAACGGTTGGGTGAAGTCCGGGAAACCAAGCACTGGTGGGTTGAGCAAACAGTTTATTAGTTCCTCAAGTGCACTTTGGTGTTGTTCAGTCCACTCTACTTGTTTTGTTGAAGGGACAACTTGACATGATTTCTTTTGTTTTGTCTTTCTCCCTTTTGTCCTGTTCTCTGTGTCTTTGTCAGCTTTCAATAAGTCATACAGACAGCTTGCTTTTCGGGAAAAGTCCTTGATGTATTGTCTGTAGTAGGACAGAAGGCCTAACATTTTTCTGAGTTGACCTACATTTAGTGGTTTGATGTCTTTGTCAGTTTGTGAGAAAGACTCACATTCCTCTCTGAGCATTTGTTTAACTATAGCTGTCTGCTCTACACTTAAATGACTGAGATCTACAGGTGGGTCCCACTTCTCACTAGAGCCAAGTTGTGGTTGTGTGTTAGTGGTACTAACTGTAGCCACTGTGGCTTTCTCCAACATATGAGCAGGTAAGACAGTTGTAATAGTCTGAACTGTACCCACTACTGTTCGGCCTAAAAGGATAATATTATGATCTGTGGGGTTAGAGACATCTACTGTTATAACTGGTGAACTACCCCCTTTAACCTTAACCAATGTGTCAAAAAATTCAAGATTGTCTGGCCACTGAGGATTTAAATCAGGCTCAAATAGCATAGTCATGTCTTGTCTAAAAGGCTGTGAAGCCACCCGGCATTCAACTTGGATGTGACTTTGTTTAGGTACAGTTATACAGTCTTTCTTGGTTTTTACTTTAAACTCGTCTGTATCTGCACTAACAGCTTGGATGAAAGCTTTCACCTTATTTCTTCTGAGGCGGGGAAACGCTTTTCTCACTGTGCTGTAAACTTTTGCTTTTTCCGTCTTATTCAGGATATATTCAATTACATTGTAGCCTATAATGGGGTGTGACAGATAACAACCCTTCATTACCAGCATGGGGATGATCATTTTCGGCTTTAATTAATTCTGTAATTTTGTCATTTAACACCAACAGATCTGATGTTCCTTCATCTTCAAAAGTTTCCATTTCCTCTCTCTCAATGTACATCTGGATATGTGTTAGCAGCGACAGGCGAGTTTTAGTGCTGGCCTTTATTGTATCTGCTGTACCCATAAACTCACAGATGGACACCAATTTTTCTTTGGGCAACTTGTGCAAATTACGCACAATTTCTTCTCGCAGCTGCTCAAGCACTGACATAGTGGCAGTAGACAGTGGAAGTCTTGCAGGTACTGGTGACGTTGAGCGGTGGGGTCTTTGCGGCTCCTGATGATCTCTGAACGGTCTCAGGACGCGTAGACTGGAACACAGCTGCCAACTCTCCGTAAAAGCAACACCTTCCAAGCTGCAGTCTGCCTGGGTTGTGTGGGGGGAGTAGCCAACTTTGATTAGGTGTACAAGCTATGGACACCACACATCTAAGCAGCTATCCCAGCGGTGCCTCCAAATGTTGCACCCCTGAAACAGGGAGAAAAAGATCACGAGAGTGATTTACGTGTTTTCCTCATGCGTGACTTTAATGCAATCCAGTCAAGAATAACAGCATTTAGAATTTCACTCTTCTCAGAACAACAAAAGTGCGGTACAAAATGGCGGAGCGCTGAAGAACAGTTGGGCATAACGTCTCTAAATTCAAACGCACACAAACGACTTACTAGCTTCTAAAAACACATCTTTGAACAGGAAAACACCTTGCAAAGTACACACTGACACATTAATAGTAAATCCTCTGCTCTTTACCTGAAACAGGGAGAAAAAGATCACGAGAGTGATTTACGTGTTTTCCTCATGCGTGACTTTAATGCAATGAGGATAAACAGCGGAAAGTCCCTCTTGTGGTGCGCGCAGGCATGACCAGTCGATCGAGAGTCCAAGACCTACTAGCTGATCTAACAAATAAACTATAATGCTAAAATATTAATAATCATGAAACATTTTAACATACTTTTAAAACTGTATCTATATCGTGCATTAAGGTTGTGTAAGTTATTAATTATTCTGAACTTATTATTTTTAAAATAACATTGTGAATAACCTATTACACACCCACATCCACAATGTGTGTGTGGATGTCGGCTTGAATATATAAAACAAAAAAGTTAACATTTACAAATTGAAAATAGAGGCCATGACAAACAATACCAGGAGCAGCTGTTATTGGTCAGAGCACGGCCGAGCCCCTCTGTGCGCGTGCATGAATGTCATAAGCCGTTCATTTGAATTGGGCGCCATTTTGGATCACCGGGGCTTGAGGCTCAGGGATAGCATTAGCGATAGTCTTCTTTCTGTTGCTTTTTTGGGGGTGCAGTTCCGGTCTGTTGCCTTGACCCTCCACATCACTGTCATCTCTAGAGACACCTTTACTACGAAACCGCCACCAACTAAAGCCTGTTCCTCTCTGTTTTCCTCTGTGACTCTTTCTGCCCCTGTCTATCCTGCACATGGTGCTCAGACCTGTAACTCAATAAAACACTGTCTACACCAAACGATGGAGAGGAAAATAGTAAAAATCGTAATTGACGGATTCATCCTAGCCTGGTCATACCACACCATAGTCTGGAGGTGCTCCATTGAGTTTCGTTAACAGATGGGAGGCAAATGGAGCCTCTTGCTCCAGCTTCAATTTCTTGATAGAACCAGAATGGAATACTTTACTATCGCATTCTTCGCCATTGCCAAACTACAACCTGCCCGTTTGATGCAAACTCTTGACGTTACCCACAACTAACTACAACACCCGCCTCGCGCGCTCGCTGATTGGTCGGATGGAATTCAACCGATTGTAATCGCCAACACTGGGACCAGACGATGATGATTGACTGGAGTTTACGGATGGCTAAGGCCAGGCTAGATTCATCCGGCAATTAGTTAATTTCGGATTTATGTAATACGCTGATGATTTGTGCATAATTCCAAGTTTTGTTTGGGTTTTTTTTTTTTACGAAAAATGAAAAATGAGCCAGACACAGGCAGAATCATGTTATAACCATAGACTGTAAATATTATATTATTATTATAATATCTCCGCCGTTCAAACTAATGGGCCAAAAAAATGTCTCTACTGGAGCAATCCAAAATGGCCACGAGTGGTCCCGCCCACAAGAAAATTGTGAAAAAACGCATCTGCGCATGCGTCAGCCGGCAATTCATTTGAACGAGTGCCTTCAAAAATTCACAGCGACTAAACCAGATTGGTCCAAAACATTTCACCCCCCTCAGCATTGACACACGGAGGAACGGAGCTTTGGGCCAAGAGCCAACTTTTGGACCATCCTGTAAAGACGTTTGAGAGGTCAGCTAATGCTATATGTTAGCATTGGCTAATTCTTATTCCGGGTCCACCCCCATCGGCCCGGGGTGGTATTGCAAGTATGTCAGCGCACGTCATTTTGGCCTCTTTTGAGCCGGGACCCGCCCCCACTGGTTATAACGTCTCCCATTTTCAGTAGTTTTTCTTGAGTGCATTGCATGGACTTTTTTGTGTTTGGAACATCTCATCTCCACACATGTCTCCACCAGCTTCATTCGCCTTGGTGCTTTGTCCCAGATGAAGACATTCTCACTAAATGCCTTTCATGAAGTGCTGGTTCTCAGCTGTTTACTTTTCTGCTGTTTTTATTGAAACCGGTTATATTGGAGTAATGCTTTAATGACAGTGGCTTCCAATAGACCCAAGGGCTTTGAATGCAGACATTTGGAACATAATCGTGCATATAATGTAGTCGCGACAGACGTGGTTAATGTGCTGTTGATCTGAAGGAAAAGTTATCATATTATTCCAATGATGAACTAGAAAAGATAGAACTTTTGTCACGAGGTGGGAAGGAGGAGGACTCAAAATGCGAGAATGCCAAAATAAAGATTTAATAAAATAAAGTTCAAGGTAAAAACAAAACTCAAAATCTAAAATACGGAACCAGGAGCACAAAATCAGGAACAGGACGAAACAGAAGTAGACAATACAATGGACCAGCAACAAGAGGAGAGGAGCACAGGGTAATTATAGACAGAGACACAGGTGAAACACATTAGGGCGGGGCAGACAATCAAGACAGGGGAAACAGGACGTCAAAGTCAAACTAAAAACAAAGCACAGAGAACAGATATCAAAATAAAGCTAAAGTCCAAAATAAAATCCACACCATGACAACTTTCCTCTGGGCCTTTCCTCTGGTGAGAATCAGGTAAGTTTGGACTTCTTCCAACAAGACCAGACTCAGGGCGTCACTTTCTGTTTTCAATGAGCAGTTTAAGGCGGAACGGTGTTCCCTGGGCTTTAGTTAGGGGGACTATTATAGATGTTTTTAGTGGTAAGGGAAACCTGTGCAACAGAAGGAAACTTGCAAAGACACAAGGAGGACATTCAAACTCTGATCTGAAAGAAGACAGGGATTTCAAAAATATCTGCTGTCAGGTCTTATTCAAATTTAACAGAGAGTTGGTATGGAATCTGTTTGATAGATGCCCCAATCAGAAGTTTCAAGGCTGAACCCAGCAAAATTTGTCACTTCCACGCAGATGAATTAATCTGTACTGGCCTTCATTCCAGGCTATACGATTATTAGAAATAGCACCTATACCACTAACTATGTTTCACAGACAGGATTTGTTGCAACCAGGATTCAAACCATAGACCATATATATGAAATGGCACTCACCGAGTGCTGACGTCACCACAGTGTTAGCATTATTATGGGAGCCACCTTCCTTATAAGAACATTTCTTTCGCTTTGTTAGTTTCGCGCCATAACAGGGAAAGACATGTTACTAAGGCAAGCTATACTTTCACCTGCAAAGGAAGGTACCTTATTGGTCAATCCCTATATGGCACCTGGCTGGGTCAAAGGATGGGTCAAATGCAGAGAATGAATTGCCCTATAGGGGAATTAATAAAGTGCACCTTTACCTCTCCGGATTAACAACAACAAAGTAGTGAGTGTGACACAGATGGTTATTGGTTTACTTTTCAATGTAAGTCAATGCGAGCCAGAGAAAGATGGAACAAATCTTTGTCCATGGAGCTAGGGGGCTAGAATCGTCCATCTATATACAGACTATGATTTGAACCCAGGTCCTTCTTGACGGGAAACAAGAGTGCTACTAACCACTCAGCCACCACCCTGCCAAAAGATTATAAAACGGGCGTTGTTCCATCAAAAAATTACAAAAATAGACCAAAAAAACAGCACTTACACTCACACTGAATACATTCTGACCAAAAGTCTTTATCTGTGAATGTATAACCACATTGTCCAGTTCAAGACCTGGGTCTGGAGGAAGTCCTAAATCCTAATCCTGCTAATGGATAACCTCGGGTATATTTCTTTGTCTCTGTTATCTCTTGTACTGTTTCACGTCCTGTGTTAACGCCCCCTTTTTCCTCCTGAATTTTTAACTTTTATTCTTCCTTTCTTTTTCTCCCATCCCACCACCATTTCTCTGTGTTTTTCTGTTTCTTTTCCTTTTCGTCTGCTAGGTTTTTGCGCTGCTCGAAAGGGTCACTACATTAACGAGTGTGAGTCAGTTAGCGGCAATTAGCCCAAACTCCATTAATAATTCTCAAAAGAAATCTCCCATGCATAATTTGTAATTTTAGCTTCTATGCACACATAGCTAAACCCTAAGAGTAGATTATTTAATTTGAGCCAACCCATTAAAGAAGTGATGTTTTTAGAAAAAATTGCAGTTGCCGTCTTGTTTTTGACTGCGTTTTCTTGGCTAATCGCTTTATTATTGTAAGATCGGCCACCAAAGAGGCAACCACTATTTCTCTAAAAATCCTCACTTCTCTTAAAGGGAAAGTTCTTTGTAAATGTGGTGCTTTAAATGCTTTCAGCTAGAGTTTTCTGAGCAGACAGGAGTGATAGTAGAAATAAAGCAGACCTGGAGTTACTTTTAGATCCAAGACCTCTTCTGTCTACAAGCTCATGTCTCAGTCCTTTAATAGTATGTTTCTTATTGTACCACTATGACATCACACTGAGAGCAGTTTTTTAACAAAAATCATTGCCCATTAATTCTTGTAAATTCTACTGTGAAATTGCTCTCTTTACAATCACATATCGGTGTTTGGAGCCGGTGATTTTGAAATCTGAAAACAAAAAATATACTTGTTTTACCATATATTTTCTACTTGAGACACTATGTAACTTTGTGGAACCTGAAATTACAAAATCAATATTCCCAGTATCATACAATAAATGTGTTCACTCAAATGTGTCATATAGCTATTCAGCTCAGTCATGGTCAATAGAGCACTTGTTTTGTGAATAATACATTTTGTTTGTGCCAGTAGAGGTGTTTTTATAAGCCAAATGTTGTGAAAATGCTGACTACAACATGCTGTCTTCATGTTATTCAAAATCATTATCTTTACCTACAAGAAAAAGCTCTGTGTGTCACTATTTGACAAGTGCTTCACAAGCCAGAATAAATACAGTTGAATTAAAAACAGATCATTAGGAGCTCAGGAGAACTGTACCAGATTTTAGCTGCATTAATCTGAACTACTGCCTCGACCTCCTCATGCTTAGTCCTTATCCTGGACACCAGCTAGAGGCCAGTCCCTGTGCTCCTCAGAGTCCCAGCAGGAGTTCAGTCCCTGTGCTCCTCAGAGTACAACATATTCCTTAATGCTAGTTATTACTAATCTAGACACAGGGGGAAGATGCAAACTTCCCACAGAATGAAAGCTTCTTAGGACAAAACTGGCATTTGTTTCTGCCTTTCTCCTGTCTGCGTCACCAAACTGACCTATACTAAATATATCTATACCCCTAAGTGCCTAATCAACCAACTTTTACAAATAGCAAAGTGAAATTTCTCCAACTCATTTCTGCCTGTGGTCATATAGGCTGATGCTGAGCTAGAGCTTTGGGCTTGGTTTGGCTGTGCGTGTGATAGGGATATCCATGGCTCGGCTGCTGTTGTTCTAAAAGTACATTTAAGTCATAATCTGAAAAGAGAAATGCACTCAATGTTGTTTTGTATCAACAGGTTCCTGAATGGTCCAAGTGCAGTGCCAGAGAGAAGAGGAAGGAGAAGAAGGTGGATAAGCCCTTCTACTCGGACTCTGATGGAGAGTCGGGGCCCACGGAGTCAGCGGACAGCGGTAACAAATCCAGTTTCGGGGGAAAAAACTATCACAGTCCAAAGCGTTTAGACAGTGGCTTGTAAAAGTTTTAGGTAAGGCAAGTTTAGTTGTATAGCACAGTTCATACACAAGGCAACTCATAGGGATTAACAAAACAAGTTAGAAACAATCACACTAGGCATTGAAATCATAAATAATCATTTATGCACAGCTAAACAGAACTGTTTTCAACTTGGATTTGAACATTGTCAGAGAAGAAGCCTGTCTCACATTGTCAGGAAGACTGACAGATTTTAGCTACTACTACTAATATACAGTGCCTTGCGAAAGTATTCGGCCCCTTTGAACCTTTCAACATTTCGCCACATTTCAGGCTTCAAACATAAAGATATAAAAATTAAATATTTTGTCAAGAATCAACAACAAGTGGGACACAATCGTGAAGTGGAACAAAATTTATTGGATAATTTAAACTTTTCTAACAAATAAAAAAAGTTGGGCGTGCAATATTATTCGGCCCCCTTGCGCTAATACTTTGTAGCGCTACCTTTTGCTGCAATTACAGCTGCAAGTCGCTTGGGGTATGTCTCTATCAGTTTTTCACATCGAGAGACTGGAATTCTTGCCCATTCTTCCTTGCAAAACAGCTCGAGCTCAGTGAGGTTGGATGGAGAGCGTTTGTGAACAGCAGTCTTCAGCTCTTTCCACAGATTCTCAATTGGATTCAGGTCTGGACTTTGACTTGGCCATTCTAACACCTGGATACGTCTATTTGTGAACCATTCCATTGTAGATTTGGCTTTATGTTTTGGATCATTGTCCTGTTGGAAGATAAATCTCCGTCCCAGTCTCAGGTCTTTTGCAGACTCCAACAGGTTTTCTTCCAGAATGGTCCTGTATTTGGCTCCATCCATCTTCCCATCCATTTTAGCCATCTTCCCTGTCCCTGCTGAAGAAAAGCAGGCCCAAACCATGATGCTGCCACCACCATGTTTGACAGTGGGGATGGTGTGTTCATGGTGATGAGCTGTGTTGCTTTTACGCCAAACATATCGTTTTGCATTGTGGCCAAAAAGTTTGATTTTGGTTTCATCTGACCAGAGCACCTTCTTCCACATGTTTGGTGTGTCTCCCAGGTGGCTTGTGGCAAACTTTAAACGAGACTTTTTGTGGATATCTTTGAGAAATGGCTTTCTTCTTGCCACTCTTCCATAAAGGCCAGATTTGTGCAGTGCACGACTGATTGTTGTCCTATGGACAGACTCTCCCACCTCAGCTGTAGTTATCTGCAGTTCATCCAGAGTGATCATGGGCCTCTTGGCTGCATCTTTGATCAGTCTTCTCCTTGTTTGAGATGAAAGTTTGGAGGGACGGCTGGGTCTTGGTAGATTTGCAGTGGTCTGATACTCCTTCCATTTCAATGCATTTATACGGAGACTTGATTACACACAGGTGCATTCTATTTATCATCATCAGTCATTTAGGACAACATTGGATCATTCAAAGATCCTCACTGAACTTCTGGACTGAGTTTGCTGCACTGAAAGTAAAGTTTTTTATTTGTTAAAAAAGTTTAAATTATCCAATAAATTTCGTTCCACTTCACGATTGTGTCCCACTTGTTGTTGATTCATGACAAAAAAAAAATTTTTTTATATCTTTATGTTTGAATTCTGAAATGTGGCGAAATGTTGAAAGGTTCAAGGGGGCCGAATACTTTCCCAAGGTACTGTAAGTTGAACTTTTTAGCAATGGAAAGCACCGCCACATAAGTGCGCACGAATTGAGCAAAAAGCACCCATTTATTTCATGCAAAACCTCAACATTATCCCGGAATATGGTATGTGTATATGGATATGTAGGGGTTTGAGGCCTTAGTATACATCAAAAAGAGGGGTAAAGTTGTGTAAGAAAAATAAACGTGGTATGGTATTATTGTGCTTCTCCCACAGAGTCAAACAGTGGCAGTGGTTCAGACAGCGGTAGTGCCTCGGACGTCAGTGCGTCGGCTTCAGAGAGTGAGGAGAGCGAAGAGGGCTCAGAGTCTGATGAAGAGGAGGACAAAGATGAGCCCAAGCACAACAAGAAGAAGCTACAAGACATGAAGAAGCCCACGCACAATACAGAGAGGTAAATATACATTCAAGGAGCAGAGCCAGGTCAGCAGAGCCAGACAGAGACGTGAAAATATCCAAATTGTGCCTTGTGTTTATCCTCTACACAACACAGCGTTTTATGTATTTATTGGATTAATGGACAGGGCACATCCAACTATGTTAATGTACCAGAGTTAGTCCCTATGCCAGGTCTTCAGTGGCAGCCTAAAACACTCAATAAACACATCATAATATTTAAAAAGTACAGTAAATCAACTGGAGCTTGGAGTTGTCACCACTGGTATATTCTAACCCCCTGGCCCGGACTTGTGGGCTGAACCCCCCTTCCCACCTGGGAGCCACTTCAGTCCTGCACTGCACAGCCTCAGTCCTGGATCTACAGCCTGTCTGTCCATGGGAGCGGATAGACTCTAGGTTTTGCACATTTCCTAATGTTTTTTATTTTTATTTTTTGAGTAGTTCCTTGCTGATGGAGGAGGGTCTAAGGACAGTAATGGTCCGGGTCATGTGATAATCCTACATGTTTGTTATTATTGCATTTCCTGTGTTGGAACTGTTTGATTCTCTGATCTGTTGTTGACAAATCAAGGACTTTTTAAAATCCTCCGAGATGGCTGATGTTATGATTTAGGGCTATACACAAATAAATGGAATTAGTCAAAACCTTTTTCTGTGTATTTTGAAAAAATGATGTCGGCATATTCTCAGTGTCTTGCTCAGCATAGAGCGGTGACATCAAAGATGCAGAAGAAATATTTTTTCCTGCAGTAGCGTGCAGATGCAGGGTCAGACCTGGGTCCAGTCCTGGCTCAGAGGCTCTCGATACAGACTGTTTTAAGTTTTAACTGCATAACAGAGATGTTACACACCTTACACAATACAATTTACAATTTATTCTTGTATAGCCCTAGGTCACAACAGAAGTCATCTCAGAGGACTTAACAAAACCATTGAAATCACCAACACAGATCAGAGAATCAACAGTTAAAACACATGAAAAATATAAAGCACACACAGAAGAAAATGTCCATACATGTTGTAGAATGCTAAAGTGTCCTGGATCATCACCAATCCTTTCTGTTGGACACTAACTGTCCAACAAGACTCTCCTGCATCGACAAGGAAAAACTCTTAAAAAACCCAGTGGGAAAAAGTGAGAAACCTTGGGGAGAACTAGGGAAACCCACAGGGAGGGAGACCCATTTGAGAAAGGGATCCGCTCCTCCGGACGGACAGGCTAATGATCTAGGACCTAAGCTAGCTACAGAACGTGGACCAGTGGCCGCTGAACGTGGACAGGTCCGGTGCAGGACTGAAGCACTCCCTTTGTTGACACCTTGTCAACACAGACCGCTCAGATCAGTTTTTGGGTAATTTGGTGAATGTCTCTGAACCTCTTTTAAGTCACTAATACTGTTCTGTTTTCTTGGTCAGTGAGCAGAGCAGTGAAGAGGAGAAGAAACCGCAGAGAAAACCCAAAACTAGGAAGATGAGCGAGTCTGAGTCTGAGTCAGAGGAGAGCGACTCGGAGAGCAGTGAGTCCGAGTCCGACGAGTCCGATTCTGAGCCAGAGATCCGGAAGAAGAAGAAGGTGAGCCACAAAGAGACCAGTGTACAGGTTTTGAATATGTTATTGTTTAGGATAGGGATGCACCGATACCCCTTTTTTTAAAGCGATACGAGTAAGTAGTACTTGCCGATACCAAATACCAATATGAGTACTGCAGTTTGTTTTCCCTGGGAATTCATAAAACTAATACAACTGAAATTTAAAATGTTTTATTTCTCATTTCAACAATATGAAAATGCTTTAACGTGATAGTCTGGACTTTGTCAGAAAAAAGAGAATAAAACGACCCAAGCTCCCTCTCCCTTCCTTTCTGATTGGTCTTAAAGCAGTGCCTACTTTTCTGTGCACACGCCAGAGGAGAGATTATTAATTTAGATATCAGAATATTTTGTCATAATTTGTAATACAGTTCCTCAGAGCAGCAGTAGAACGCTCCATTGATTTGAATGTAATTTCAAAACTATCTACCGATCATTATTTCTTAATAACAGACCCCTCAAACCAATAATGGCCGCTGCCCTTTGGCAACGCACTCTGTGCTTGTAATTCAGGTGTGTAAGATTACTCCGGACAGTAGTTTGTACAGGCGCCTTTCAGCGCCTGTCACTTATTACTTCTGTCTGTGTGAGAGAAGCTATTGGAGCTAGCCACGCTCATTAAACATGAATAACAATCAATCACCACATTTAAATGTTAATCGAAGGATACATACTTACAAACTTTTATCAAGTCGCTCGTGTTACACGTGTTTGTTTTGGACCTCACACAACATACAGTCCGCTTTACTCTTCTCAATCCTTACTGTCTGCTGTCGTGAAGCTAATGTAAATTTAAAATGACCCAATACCGGTATTGGTATCGGTGCATCCTTGGTTTAGGAGTTTAGCTGCACTCTCAGATCAACAGAGGCAAATATGAGATTACAGAGCTGACCGTTGCTTTGACAGCGCAGCACGTTCTTGAGTGAGGGAGTGAGATAAAAGTCATAGCATACTGCACACACACACACAGGCCTGGGTTTGAATCCCTGTCAGAAATTTCCCAATAAAGTTTATAAAATGAATTAGAAAGGGATTTCAGGCTTGGGGGACTATATTTTTGAAAGGCGGCCTGGGACTACACAAGATTTTGCTTGGGGATTGCACAATAGGTATTCTCTGTGAAAAACATTAGATTTTTTTCATTTGAGCAAAGATCTCTGCCTTACACATCCCGAATAATCCATGTTTCCCAGATTTAAAGAAATAATCGCAGGTAAAACTGTCTTCAAATATGCAAGAATTGCTCTAAACACAACCAAAGCTGAGTCACACATTGCCTTTTGAAGGGTTCTTTGACGCCGCTGCGGCAGATGTATGAGGTCATAGAGGCCAGCGAGGATCCGGTAGTGTTCCTGGACGACCTGAGAGAGGTGTGTTTTGTGTGGGACTGCAGTGGATCTCATAAACTAAAAAACTTGAATGATGAGTGTCAAGCTGATTCCAGAAAGGGCTATTGTGGCTGTAGGTTTTATTTCCAATCAAGCAGTAGCACAGGAGACCTATTTCCTCAAATCTTCAGGTCAGACCATAGACTGTATATATTAATGGACAGAGTCACGCCTATCTCCGCCGTTCTAACTAATGGGCCAAAAAATTTGCTCTACTGGAGCAATCCAAAATGGCCGCGAGTGGTCCCGCCCACAAGAAAATGGTGAAAAAACGCATCTGCGCATGCGTCAGCTGGCGCAGCTTCATTCATTTGAACGAGAGACTTCAAAAATTCACAGCAAGTAAACTAGAGTGGACCAAAAAAATTCACCCCCCTCAGCATTGACACACATGTGGAACGGAGCTTTGGGCCAAGAGCCAACTTTTGGTCCATCTTGTAAAGACGTTTTCGAGATGATGGCCGTGTAGAACTGCACCAACATCTGTGCAGGCAGCTTGGCTTTCCTGAGTTGCCGCAGGAAGTACATCCTCTGCTGGGCCTTCTTGATGAGGTAGCTGATGGTCGGCTCCCACTTGAGGTCCTGGGTGATGGTGGTGCCCAGGAAACGGAAGGACTCGACAGAGGTGATGGGGAGTCCATCACGGAGGGTGGGGGCGGGGGGACAGTGCTCTTCCTGAAGTCCACAATCATCTCCACTGTCTTCTGGGCCTTCAGCTTCCAGGTTGTTACCACTGCACCAGGACACCAGCCGGTCCACCTCCCTCCTGTAGGCGGACTCATCGTTGTTGGAGATGAGTCCAATGAGGGTGGTGTCATCCGCGAACTTGAGCAGCTTCACGGAGTCGTGGCTGGAGGTGCAGTGGTTGGTGTACAGGGAGAAGAGCAGGGGAGAAAGAACACAGCCCTGTGGGGATTGTGTTGAAAGTAGGGCTGTCAAAATTATTGCGTTAACGCACGTTAATTAATTTTTTTCATTAATCGCGTTAAAAAAATTTACGCATTTGACGCATGCCCATGCGTCCCATAATAACACTCAGAATGCCGCGGACACATGCGCGTGTGTAAGATGGGGACAGAGCAGGTAGGCCCTCTGGGAATTCAAGTTTTGAAAGAATACACGCGTGGCCGCGAAGCACTTGTAGTTTCCTGTATGAACTCTGCATGATGAGCTGCGGACGCGACAGAGCTCTGGACAGGAGTTCCCACTTCCAGCGGCTGTGATCACGGCGAACGGCGCTGCGTAATGGGATCATATCCAAGACCACGCACAGAACTATTACAGAACTATTCTCTTGTGTGCGTACGTGTCTTTGCGTAACCGATGCACACAATATGTACAGCGCTGAAGCTGGACTGCGGAGCCTCAGTCTCCTTCGTGTCTTCTCCCGAAGCGCACTCGCTAAATTAAAGCTGAGGTACCTAATTTTCCTTTCGACCATCAGTTCATGTTAGTTGTGCCAAAAAAAGTAATGGTGTGAGCAAATCAAACAGATTTAATGACTTTCTGCATTTCTGACTATTTTGAAATGTCCCTCATCTTTAACAAACAATGGTTTTGGTCTGAGTCTAAACAGAAAGACAGAATGTTAATAATGTTACAGTAATTCCATTTTATATGGATTTATTATTATAACAAACAAATACAGTACATATGTTCACTAAGCTGTCATTTATCTTTCCATTCAAACAACAATTTACAGAAAAATATGGCATACTTTTGCCAATAGTTTGAAATGTGATTAATTACGATTAATTAATTTTTAAGCTGTAATTAACCCGATTAAAAAAATTAATCTTTTGACAGCCCTAGTTGAAAGCAGAGCTGAAGTCCGCGAACAGGACCCTGGCGTAGGTCCCCGGGGAGTCCAGGTGCTGTAGGATGTGGTGGAGGGCCAGGTTGATGGCGTCGTCTACAGATCTGTTGGCTCTGTGGGCGAACTGCAGGGGGTCCAGGAGGGGGGAGGTGAAGGACTTGAGATGGGAGAGGACCAGGCGTTCAAATGACTTCATGACGACAGACGTAAGTGCTACAGGTCTGTAGTCGTTGAGTCCTGTGATCCTGGGCTTCTTCGGGACGGGGACAATGATGGTGGATTTGAAGCAGGCCGGGACATGGCAGGACTGCAGAGAGGAGTTGAAAATGTCAGTGAACACAGGAGTAAGCTCACTGGCGCAGTGTCTCAGAGTGGCCGGAGACACGTGATCCGGGCCAGGAGCTTTGCGGGGGTCTTGTCGTTGTCACTGCACCAAAATAAATCAGGATCCTGTGAGAACGTTTCATGAAAGAACACGTTTCTAAATTCTTCATAAAAAGGACAATATAACACTTTCAACTTCATTGAGTCTCTTCTCCTCAGGGGTCTGTGAAAACCTCCCCGTTTCTGAAGCTAATGGAAGAATTCCGGTATGTAAACTGTGCCATCAAAGATCTCTGATTCCTGGACAGATTTGCTGTGACGGAAATTTCTGTTTTGAAATTTTCTTTCAATTTAATATATACTCTTAGTTTAAATTCAATTCAAAATGTTGCCGCTGTTCAAAATTGGCCACTAATTTTGCTCTGCTGCTGACGCTGCATGGCAGATTGTGAAAAACAAGATTGAACTAGAGGTGACAGTAGAGCATTGGCCTTTGAGCCAGAGGGTCGTAGGTTCGAGCCCGACTCCCACTGTCTGCTGTCGTTGTGTCCTTGGCAAGACACTTAACCTCTGGGAAGTGTCCTCTGGCTGGGGCTGTAAAGTGCCAAACTGCCGTTGTGTCCTTCGGCAAGACACTTTACCTCCATTGCCTAGAATGAGTCTGGTGTGTGTGTGAATGGTTGGTGGTGCGCGGAGAGGCCGATGGCACATACTGGTTGCCTCGCTTCTGTCAGTGTGCCCCAGGGCAGATGTGGCTACAGTAGTAGTTTATCACCACCGTGTATGGAGTAAAAGAATAATGACATGTAAAGCGTCTTTGAGTGTCCAAAAAAGCGCTATATAAAACCAATGCATTATTATTATTATTATTATTATTGAACTCACTTGAGGAATTGGGTGTAGTCTGTTGTGCTCCTGCTTAGTTGTAATTAAAACCTGAAGCCAGACCGGCCCTGTGAGGACTGGTTTAATCTAATTGTTCCTGTTGTTTAAGCCATTTAATTGTTTAACTGGTGCTGTTTTATCTCTTGCATTGAGTGTGAAGTTGCCCATTCATTGAGTAAAGTCAATATGTGCTTCAATTGTAAGGTGACAGAGTGGGACATGTAACAAGCATTGTATGACTTATATAAGACCCAGTTTATACGGAGGCGCTGCGCAGACGTTGCCAGGCTATTAACAACGACCAGCCTCCTTATGCAAATTTCACAGCGTTCATACGGGGATAAAAAACTATGTAGTTCTAGCGCCCGGACAGTAGTGGGCAGAACAACTTTACAACACGACACACGTGAGCCCCAGCGCCCCCCCAGCAGTATACTCACATCCTCTGGAAAGATGCACCAACATCATTCTGCATTTAACAGCAGCTGCGAAAATTGAAACTTTGCGTGCTTTCATTTGGACGAACGAAGGTGTAGAATTATCTTCTGTGTAGCGCTCGAAGCACACGTAGCTAGTTAGTGTACGCGCCGCCATTGTTGTTTACGTTTGTTCTCGGCTACTGCGCATGTCCAAATGTACATGCGGGGAGCAGCGGGGAGGTGGGGGTCTATGAAGGTTATTTTGTGTTTTTATCATCAACACTTCTTTTTGCTTTTGAATTCTATAAACTATAACAAAAAAGTATTTAGTATTTAATTCAGTGTCAAAATATTCAATGTTTTAAAATTCAGTGTCCAAAAAGTCAATGTTGAAAACACTTACGTTTTCACCCCCCTGGAACACAGTCTTTGTATGAACGGGGGGTAGCAACCGACATCCAACTATACCGTTTTACTGCTGCATTGTCTCCGTGTAAATTTGGGCCTAAGGAAAATGACCCAAACTGGTCAAATGTTATTTTGGAGTGTTGTTCTACCATTTGATAGCTTTAACTTTTTGATCACTTTATGTCTTAAATCTAATTTCAGGTCGACCCGAAAGCTTCAAAACCAGTGAAGAAAGAAGCAAAGAAGGAAAGTAAAAAGGAGATGTCCCTCCTCGATCTGGACGACTGTGAGTTTTCAGAGGAGTGATGTGTGGGGCGGGATTTTTAGTATCACTTGAAATTATAAATGTTCAGTCCAGCCGAAATGATACAAACTTGATTGAATATTTGATTTATCTAAAAAGTAGGATAAAACTTTAGTTAGATACCTCATTTGTTAAGTCATCTTTATCATTGTAAATAGGAGCTGTAAATTCACCAGTTTTTTGTTTGTTTGCACCTGTAGTTCTACAGTCACACTCACAAACACACACTCATTCAACCCTCACCTATTATACATGTTTTTACATGTTTGAAATCGAACCCAGCACCTTCTCGATATGAAGCATATGCACGACATTTTGCACATTTTTTTTGGTAGGGGAAACCGGAGCAGCCAGAGGAAACCAACACAGGGAGAACTTGTAAAATTCACACAGAAACCACAAAGCCACTAAAACTGTTAGCTATGTGATAAATTCCTTTTCGCTAGTTCTTTGCTCTCAAATCAGTTCTAGTTTTCACATGTGTGTATGTTATGGTCTCTGTCTCGTCTATTTCCTATCAAGATGAATACAGCATGGTCTGTATGTGGACTCTTTCTGTTGGACAAACTACATGATTTTCTTATTATGAAACAATTACGTTAGTCTCTCTCTCTCTCTCTCTCTCTCTCTCTCTCTCTCTCTCTCTCTCTGACACTGTACAAACATTGTTAAAAACAGAATGCAATTTAAAAACATTGGCATTATTAAAAACAGAGGGAGAGAGAAACCAGAGAGAGAACTCTCTCTCTCTCTGTGTATCCTAATGACAATTGGAGGTAAACATGCCAGGATATAGTCATAGACTAGTTTGTATCTGTTCTACGTACGGACTAATATATGAATATATACAGTGAAAACAATATAATATGAATGTTTTTGTTTATAATTTCTTCTTCCCAAATGCTTCTTCTGTCCCCAGTTGAGCCGGCCCCCTCTCCTCAGGTGACTCCGGTGAACTTTATGTCCAGCAGTCTGGTCACAGACCTGGAGGGACTTTCCCTATCCGACGACGTCCTTGCTCCTGCTGTGAGAGAACTTGTGATTGTAGTAGATATCCTCTGTTTAAAACACTTTATTATTATAGGATTAGTTAAGTATATCTTAAAGTAGCAGTATGTAATATTTGCATGTCAAGTCATCATTAAATGGCCCCCATATTTCAAAAGAAGTTATTAAATCATGCTCTTTTTGTATATATCTTTAACTGATAGCAGTAGTTCAGCCGAGATATTTGATTATCAAAATTAGTTTTACGTCCTGTAAAAAAAGTTGTTATTGTTTTGATTTTGATGTCCTACCCTCCGCCGTTTCGCCAATCAGGAAGTGTCATGTAAGTCCGTGATCAGGTTGCCAGAACTCCGCGCGGCTCACTAATCTCAGTGGTAAAATAACATGTGGCCGCAGAACTAAAAAAGGTCTTGTTATGACTCTCAAATAATTAATGACAAAACAAAGACGAAAACGAGGATTTATATCGAGACGCCTTTTAACAATTGAGACAGCTAATGTGTTTACATGTGATGCAAAATTTCCTGCTTTGACTACGTTCTTCAGAGCATTTATGACCGCGTGAATCGGTGGTCTGCTGGTTAAAACTGTGCACTCACGATGCAGCAACCCGGGTTCGAGTCGGGTTGCTGGGTAGAGTCTTTTTGTATTTAATTGCATGTTATCACATTCTATGACAGATTGCTCTAAAAACGGTAAAAGACGAAGGTCAAGACGTTTTTTTGCAGATTATAGCTTAATTGTAAAAAGAATCATTTAAGACCACATGTACCCCAATTAAAATAATCCTAGTCTCTTTTTGATGTGGGACTTATACATGTTTTTCTAAAAAATAGGGAATAAATAAAATGTAAAGGTGATATCCTCTGGAGCAAACCCTGATGTTGATACGAAGAAATACGTTAGTTGGTAAGAAATACGTTCCAACATCCATTCTTCCCACTCCTATTTTGGACATCAATTGCTTATTTATTTTGGATAATCTATAATTACATTGCTTTTATTTTGTTTTGTGTTTTTTATCTCAAATGTCCAAATAGAATAAAAAAATCAAACATTCATTCAACATTAGCATTAGCGCTGGGAACCTAAGGGTACCTGACGATACGATACGATACACGATACAAAGCTCACGATAGCGATAATATCACGAGAACGATATTACGATAACGATTTTATCACGATAAGGATATTACAATAATGATTTTATCACGATATGACGATTATTGATACAGTGTCTGTCCATAGGACAACAATCAGTCGTGCACTGCACAAATCTGGCCTTGGAAGGGTGGCAAGAAGAAAGCCATTTCTCAAAGATATCCATAAAAAGTCTCGTTTAAAGTTTGCTACAAGCCACCTGGGAGACACACCAAACATGTGGAAGAAGGTGCTCTGGTCAGATGAAACCAAAATCGAACTTTTTGGCCACAATGCAAAACGATATGTTTGGCGTAAAAGCAACACAGCTCATCACCCTGAACACACCATCCCCACCTCAGCTGTAGTTATCTGAAGTTCATCCAGAGTGATCATGGGCCTCTTGGCTGCATCTCTGATCAGTCTTCTCCTTGTTTGAGATGAAAGTTTGGAGGGACGGCCGGGTCTTGGTAGATTTGCAGTGGTCTGATACTCCTTCCATTTCAATATAATTGCTTGCACAGTGCTCCTTGAGATGTTTAAAGCTTGGGAAATCTTTTTGGATCCAAATCCGGCTTTAAACTTCTCCACAACAGTATCTCGGACCTGCCTGGTGTGTTCCTTTTTCTTCATAGTTCTCTCTGCGCTTTAAACAGAACCCTGAGACTATCAAAGAGCAGGTGCATTTATACGGAGACTTGATTACACACAAGTGCATTCTATTTATCATCATCAGTCATTTAGAACAACATTGGATCATTCAAACATCCTCACTGAACTTCTGGAGTGAGTTTGCTGCACTGAAAGTAAAGGGGCCAAATAATATTGCACGCCCCACTTTTCAGTTTTTTATTTGTTAAAAAAGTTTAAATTTTCATTTCATTTCATTTCATTTTCAACCCCTTTGTCCATTTCTGGGTCGGGGGGGTGGCAATGAGAGCTGCCACCCAACGCCAAAGTTTAAATTATCCAATAAATTTCGTTCCACTTCACGATTGTGTCCCACTTGATGTTGATTCATGAGAAAAAATTAAAATTTTATATCTTTATGTTTGAAGCCTGAAATGTGGCGAAATGTTGAAAGGTTGAAGGGGGCCGAATACTTTCGCAAGGCACTGTATATTGGTCAGAAATATACAATATGCCAATTTATGGCATAAATTAAAGAAAAAATACTCTTTATTTCATGATAAATAGAATGGAGATGCGTAATGTAGCCATATATTAAGTATTGATATCAAAAAAAAAATGTATGTTTATTTATTTTTTTCAAAATTGGCAAATGCATATCGATAATCGAATCGCGGGAGAAAATATCGCGATATATCGAAATATTGTCACACCCCTAATTAGCATGTCTCATGGCAATGTGAATGGAGACCGACAAACAACTGATAAAATAATTCCCTGTGTTTGCTGCTGGATTTGGTGTGTATCTGGCAACCTGAGTCAGGGAGAGTGGGAGAGGACTACAAAATATTGACTGTGACTGCAGTACCACTTTTGGCCAGATTTTTACATACTGTTCCTTTAAGTATCTGGTGCAGCTCTGCCTGCCACCCCCCTGACCCAGAAATGGATTAAGGGGAAGAAATTGGATGGATGGATGGATCTTAAGTATCTCTATCTGTTTTCCTTTCTTAAAAAAATATACAATGCAAAATCTACCTCAAGTCATTATGACGGCCGCATCCACAACTACCACAAAAGACTCACAGCTGTCATAGATGTTATAGGGCTGGATGGAAAATTATGATCAAGGTCAGCAGAGGAGTTTCTGTCATTATCATGACAATAATTGGCTTCCCACAACCACTAACAATGAGTGAGCTATTGTTCTCATAGTAGTAGTAGTGCTAGCAGTAGTGGGGCTGTAGTGAAATAGTACTTTTAAGTATTTGTACTAGGAGTAGATTCCAGATTTAGTAGTTCTTTGCTAAATGTGTGATCTCAGATCTGTGGACCTTTTCTTCCTTTATTTGCTGTGGCGTTGACAGGTACAGTATTTCTCAAACTTATTTATTTTCAAAAACTACATTTTTCTGTCACCTTATTGACTTGGTTTGATGCTAACACATATAATACATCCACATATGCACAAGTTTTTCAAACCTAAAAACTCCTTTATCACTGGAGACATGGTGGATGACATGCGGCCTGAGCATTTTGAACCACATGCTAAAATAAAACAATAGACAGGATACATAAAAAACAGAAGTACAGTGATTGAAAGGGTGTTGGACACAGTCTTTGGGTTGGAAGAAACATTCATGATCATGACCTTTTATTAGTGTATAACCCTTAACACACAACAGCAGTCGTCTTTTAGGACTTTACAAAGTGGTCGATTCACCAACAACAAATCAGATAATTATTTCAGGGAAGCAATGATAATTAAAGCCGCAAGCAGCGTTCAAACGGCCCTCGTCGCTGACACGCCATTATTTGCTCCCGTAGCCATAGAACAATGTTTGTAAAATTGTAATTAATATGATTAGTTGGTTTGGCTCCCCATGTAAAACTTTGGCTCACTCTGTAGGGGGCGCTAAAGGACCAATATAATATTTCACTCCTTCAGATGGCCTAGGCCTAGGAGTTAAACAACTGAGTCGAGTTTTCGCACAAATCAGCCTTGTATGTGTAAACACTCACGTAATCTGTTAGTGTGCCCATATATATATACAGTCTCCATTGGATGACCATTTGACTAATCAAAATTCTATGAACAACTATTAATGGTACATGTGTTGAGAGGATGTGGAGCGATTTTCAGCTAAATTAGTGAAACGGTCGAGGTTGGTTTGATGTTTGTGCGAGGTGTACATTTCAGAAATTTAACAATTTTGCCCATGACATAGAATGGGGAGCGCTTGTCATTGCCACGGCAACATAAGTTTTGGGTCTCATTGACTTTTTGAATCAAGAGGGCAAAACTGAATTTTGTGCAAAATTTAAAACCTTTTTAAAAAACTAAATGTAACAATCCCCATGTAAAACTTTTACCCAGACTTTAGCGATGAGCAGACGTAAATTGACTCATCGCTAATGAGCCAATTTAAATTATTTCACTTTCAAATGACCTAGGCCCTGGAGTTGAACAATGGATTAAAATGTAAGCAATGGGAGCAAATTTGAGATTGTCAAAAATTGAACAAAAAAGTTACCGTTGCCGCTTCGCTGTATAACTGATCAAAATTCTATGAAATCAAAATGATGGTACAAGTGTTTAGCCCCAAGAGAACAGGTCACATGTACACATTATTTGGCCTTTTCTGAACAGTTTAAAGTGGTACTATTCATATTTAGAAATACAATAGACATGATGTTTACAGATTATCCAATCAGAGAGCAGAATGAGTCTCTCGTTTGGGTGCTAGTTTGCTAGGTGAAATGTACTGTAGCTGTTTTGGACCTATCGTTTTCATATTCTGTATGGACAGCACAATGCACAAACATAAAAACAGCACCACACATTTGTTTGAATGAAAGCAGATACAAAATAAAAGTCATACGTAGTACACAGAGTTTGTGCTATTTCTAGTTAAACTCCAGCAGGAGGTTTGCATCAGTAATCAGAAACAGAATCAGAATTATTTGTATTGCTTTTGTGAGTAACAAGAAGTCACAGCCTAGGAAATTGTTTTAGTTCTCGGGGCAAACTAGTTATAAAAGTAAACATAAACTAAGGCATTCATGAAAATACTAAAAAATCTGCATAACATTTCTTAAAATTACTATGTACAAGTTCACTAAGTACACTAAAATTATTCGAATTACTACTAAATACAAGACCATTAAATATACACAATTGACGTTCAGCAGTGCAGTAAAGTGACACTAGTACAAAGTGACTGTCATAAATGGCAGGGGATAGTGATGAGTTATGAAGGAACACTTCATAACTCATCACTATCCTCTGCCATGAGTCCAACTCAAAGAGGGGAAGAAACTAACCCTAACTGAAAAACGGATTCAGCCACTCAGTGAGCTTGTAGTCGTGAGCACAGTGGCGTGCTTGTGGGCTTGTAATTGGAAAATTGCCAGAGTCCCTTCCAAACAGATTCTTCTGAATTCGATCTCTGTGCTGAAACTTTGCTGTTTTCAGTTCTTTCCTGAATTGGTATTTAGCAGCTTTGTAGCCGCTGCTATCCCCCTCTCTGAAAGTGGCACAGGCCTGAAGATTCTGGCAACAACAGCGCATGATTGTTGTGACTTTCCTGGACCACTAAGAGCGAATATTACATACTGGCCCATTAAAATTATGCACATTTATCTAAATGTATATATATTTTTCTCCACACCCCTAATTCTCACGATTTGTAACAGTACCCAATGGCAAGTTGAAGTCACTACAAAAGTCCCAAATCCTTGTCCATCTCTCTGTCTGTGCAAAAATAATAAATGTGTGTGTTTTTCAGACCATTTCTCCGTCGAGCTCCATGAAGTCCTTCGAGCTGCTGCACCGGATCACAGGGGAGGGTCTGTCCGTGGAGTACTGCTTCAGCCGGCAGCCCTTCAGCCCAGACGCTAACATGGTGTCGGTCCAGCTGCACTTCACCAACAACTCTTCCAGTGACGTGTCCGCTCTGCACGTGGAAGACGCCAAGCTGCAGTCTGGCATGCGCGTCAAGGAGTTCCCCGAGATTGGTGAGAAAAATAGGCAGGAAATACAGGACTATGTCCCGGTTATCCATCGATCAGGGGGTTTATTTCATGACTTGTACAAAACCAAAACACAACTTCACAGAACAAAGTAACAGATACAGACACACTTACATGTTTCAAAAAAGGGCTGGACGAAGAAGAAGTATATACAGTAAACCCCCCTTACCCATTCAACATCGAGGCCAAAGACAAAATGATACAAAAACAATACAGTGCATACAGGGCTGGGCTTAGTAAATGGTTTTAGATACAATCATCTTTTAGTAGAATAGTTCAAGATATCTCAGAAAAAGTTCCACTGCCATTAGTGGGAAATGTTACATTAAAGTTTAGGTTTAGGGTGGAAATTCAACATTTTAGCACCAAGTACCAAGTTTCAGGAGCTAAATCTCCAAAATGATTTATCCAATCAATACAAATAATAAGCCAAGCAAAAGTGGAGCATTTTGGCTCAATAGTCACATAGTAACTTAAAGTGCATAGTTAAATCATGAAGTAAAGAGCACCAATAATCACCATAACGCCAAAATATATGTAAATAATATTTAATAGCAATTCTAAAAAAAACTTTTTTACCAATTTTTCCCATAATTTTTCAAATGACAAGAATATGAACAATATTAAGGATATTATGAATGTAAGCAAGTAATCTTTATTTATATACCGACCTTTCACAAACCAGTGTCAAAAAGCGGTTTACAACTGTGAGCTATTGTACATGTTTTTAGTGGTAGGAAGGTAACCTACGCAGACACGGGGAGAACATGCAAACTCCACCCAGAAAAGGCCCTAGATTCAAAATCTGACAATTTTTTTGTTATTTTAGTATATATTTAATTACGTTAAATAATATTATCAAGAAAATAATGATATATTCAACAGATTTCACATACATGTAGTAAGGTTAAGATGGACAATGTTATAATGATCAAAAATGGATAAAGCGGAAAAACAAATCTCACGTTTTGAATAAGGGTTTTAAAATCAGGAGATGCATTTTTCCAAATACAATACTAGGTATATTTCAATACTCATCACTAATTATTTACAGTATTTATTAAGAAAATAGTTCCAAAGTAATAATATTCTATAGTTTTTAAACATTGTATATATAAACATTTTGCAGAAAGGTTTTGAAGTCAAAGAATGTTTTTTGTTGTTGCAAAAATACAATGTACCTTATAATATAAAAGCCAATATTGTACAGTAGTAAAGCAAATTTGGAAAAAACCATGTAGGAATCATTCATAATCACTGTCCTCAGTTGGTTCCTGGAAGAGCGTCCTGTCACAGCCTCCTGCAGCGGGAGTAATCTGAGACACTGTCCTCCTCCTGATGGACACTAATGAGGCCCGCACCAGGTGCAGCGCAGGCACCAGGTGACCAGGTGCAGCGCAGGCACCAGGTGACCAGGTGCAGCGCAGGCACCAGGTGACCAGGTGCAGCTCAGGCAAGGGTCTTGGTCCTCTCTCTCCTGGTGCAGATGTCCTGGTTTTCTCTCTCCTGGTGCAGAGGTCCTGGTCCTATGGGGGGAACATCAAATGGTACGCCGTTTTAGTTGCTTGGCTTATATAAGCCTTGAAGGAGAGTTCTTGGTCAAAAATGACTCCAAGATTCCTCACAGTGTTACTGGGTATAATACTGACATTATCGAGAGTGATTATCTGGTCAGTAAGGGGGTCACGCAGGCGCTTCGGACCGAGTAGGATCACTTCTGTCTTCTCCGGGTTGAGAAGTAGGAAGTTAAGAGTAATCCACATTTTAAGCTCCTTTATGCAGGCATTGAGCTTTTCTAGCTGATCTGTCTGATTTGGCTTCATCGACAGATAAAGCTGTGTGTCATCTGCAGCAGTGGAAATTAATTCCATGCTTTTTAATAATGTTTCCTAACGGCAGCATGTAGAGAGTGAAAAGAATCGGTCCGAGTACCGAACCCTGCGGCACACCGAATTCTACTCCAGAATAAGGCGACGAGTTCTGATTTACATTTAAACCAGCCAAGGGCTGTTCCTCTAAGACCTATATCACATTTTAGCCTCTGCAGTAGAATGCTGTGGTCTATTGTGTCAAATGCAGCACTAAGGTCCAGTAGGACCAGCACTGACACTTGTCCATTATCAGCAGCTAGTAGTAAGTCATTTGTGACTTTGACTAGTGCCGTTTCAGTGCTATGATGAGCTCTGAATCCTGATTGAAAGACTTCAAACATATTATTTTCCCGCAGGTGGCAGCGAAGCTATACGTTTTTCCAGGATTTTAGATATGAAAGTGAGGTTTGAGATCGGTCTGTAGTTTGTAAGTATTTCTGGGTCCAGGTTTGTTTTCTTCAGAAGGGGTTTGATTACCGCGGTTTTAAAAGCTTGTGGGACATAGCCACATTGTATGGATGCGTTTATTATATTTACGATAGGCTCAATTATCAAAGGAAGTATGTCTTTGAAGAGCCAAGTCGGGATTGCGTCTAACATGCAAGTTGAGGCTTTTGAGGATGTGACCACAGAGATCACTTCTGCTTGGCTCACAGCCATGAATTTATTGAGGCCCACTGAAGAGTCCAAGTGGGAAGTCACGTATGCCGCTTCAGCTTCTCCACTACCAACAGCAGGAGTAACTTCCTCCAGTTTGTCACGGATGGATGTAATTTTATTATTAAAGAAGTGGAGAAAGTTGACACTGCTCAGTGAGCTTGGAATTTCAGGCTCGATTGCGCTATGGCAGTTTGTGAGATTAGCGACGGTGCTAAACAAAAATCTACTGTTATTTTTATTCGCTTCTATTAAAGTTGAATAGTATTGAGTTCGAGCCCTGCGAAGGGCCTTCTTGTAGTTTCGGAGACCTGCTTTCCACTCCCTGTGGACAGGCTCCGAGTGGGAGTGGCGATATAGCCTCTCCAATTTTCTGACGTCCTGTTTTAAAGTGTGGAGTTGAACACTGTACCAGGGCGACGATGATCTAATCCTAATGGTTTTCTGTTTTAAAGGTTGCTGCTGCATTTAATGCAGATTTTAAAGACTCCATAGTGTTGTCCACCGTTTGGTCAATGACTGAGGGACTGCAGCAGCTGTGAACAGGTTCACCTGCAGCAGTATTCAACATAGGCTGTATTAGTTCTTTGAACCTTGTGATAGATTTATCATTTAAGGTTTCTTTTCATTATGGTTTTATCTTGCGGGGCAGGAAAGTCTTCAAAATCGAGATCAAACGTGATCAAGAAATGGTCAGACAGCAACGAGCTTTGACGCTGGATGTCAACATTGGAGACATCACAGCCGTAGGTCAGGACAAGGTCCAAGGTGTGGTTATGAATGTGAGTAGGTTCCTCGACATTCTGAGTAAAACCAACACCATCTAGTACGGCGCTGAAAGCTTTGTTTAAGCTGTCAGTGCTGTCGTCCACATGTATATTGAAGTCTCCAGTTATAACTATGTTTTCCCATTCCAAAACTAGGTTTGAAATGAAGTCAGAGAATTCTGTTAGGAACTCGCTGTAAGGACCAGGAGGTCGGTATAAAACTATAAATAGCACCGCTTTTTGTTTTCTCCACACAGGACAGGTGATTGAAAGTGTTAAGTTTTCAAACGAGTGAAAAGCGTTGTTGGTTTTGGGACTAAGAACTAAGTTGGTGTGTGATATAATCGCAACACCACCGCCGCGACCTGTAGTTCTCGCTTTCTGGTAGTTAACATGCGTCGGAGGAGTGCACTCATTCAATCTAACGTAGTCGTCCTGTTGGAGCCAAGTCTCCGAGAGCGCAAACAAATCCAAGCCCTTGTCTATAATAAGTTCGTTTATGAGAAGCGATTTAGACGAGATTGATCTGACGTTCATTAAACCACATTTAACAACCCTACTGTTAGAGCTATTTCTGTCTGTCTGAACTTTTATTAAGTTACTGTGTCTGACACCCAGGTCAGATTTCCTCGCATATAGTGCTTTAGACTTCAAGCGGGGAACACACACAGTTTCAATCTGACTGGGTTCTGAGGCTAGTAACTGAGCACACACAGGCACACACACACATGCACACACAGTTTCAATCTGACTAGCCTCTGAGGCTAGTAACTGAACAGATGGGGGCTCAGAGGTTGTGGCAGAGCAGCTCTGCACCCGGGCCTCAGTTCTGCATCGTCATTTGAGCCGAGCAGAACAGTTTAGAGCCAGGGCCAAATTCTTAGCCAAAAGGGATGTACCCGCCAACGTTGGGTGGATATCATCCGAGCGGATGAGACCGGGCTTTCCCCAAAAGGCACTCCAATTGTCAACATGAACAACACCACTTCGAGGGCACCAGCCAGACAGCCAGCGGTTGAAAGCCGAGTGTCTGCTGAATGCTTCTGCACTGCTAGTGCTAGGTAGGGGCCCAGAGAAGATGACAGTGTCGGCCATTGTGCTAGCCAGCTTGTACACCGCGGCGACTTGCAGCTTCAACACCTCGGACTGTTTCCGCCGAACGTCATTACCACCCGCGTGAATAACAATTCGACGGAAACGCTGCTTGTGGGTCATCATGAGCCTCAGATTCCCTTCAATATCACCAAGCCTGGCCCCAGGGAATCACCGAACAGTGGCTCCTGGGATCTTAACACCTCTAACAATAGAGGAGCCAATTACCAGCGCATCAGCGACTCCATCGGCTCTCTCAGCAGCTCTCTCAGCGGCTCTCTCAGTGGGGCCTTCTTCCCCGCGTGGCCGGACAGAGCGTCCCAGCGATTGTAAATGCTAACAGGAGGAGGCCCAATGGGGAAACTACCAACAACACGTGGCCCTCTCCGAACAGTCACAAAGCCATCACTATCCTGGTCTTGTCCCAGCTGCGGAGGACGGGCTGGGAGGCTAGGCTCGCTAGTTCTCCTCTGCCTTTCCCTGAAGCTGCGCTCCGCTGTCCCTGAGGATACGGCCTGGCTGTAGCTAATGCTGGCGCTAGCTCGAGACTCCAGTGCTCGGAGACGCAGCTCTAACTCACTGACCCTGGATTCCAGAGCTACGACTACACTACACTTGACACATCTATCACTACCCTCAGAGAAGGATCCAGGGTTTAGACTCGCCATATGGCAACTCGAGCAGTAAAGGATTGAGGGAGAGACAGCAGCCGCCATAGGAGTAGCGAGTTAGCGGCTAGGCTAGGCTAGGCTAAGCTATGCTAGGCTAGTCCGGATCTGGGCCCGCACAACAGACTCCGAGACCAGACAAACAACCGCTACCTAAACCTCAGCTGCAGTACAGCTGACTCGGAGTGCTTACACAGTTAGCTTGGTGTACAATACGTGGATTTGTAATGTGTTTGTTAGAGCAGAGAGCAGAGTGATAGTAGTCAAGAAACACGCTCACCGGATACAGGAAGTCCCACAAAGATGGAACGGACATACACACTACAAATCTTGGCACATGGCCTATTTGGATATTTTGACTTTCTGTCCCACATGCATTCATGTTTTAGTTATCTTCAATTAATAAAACATAAATGCATCAATACATAGTTCCTACATGACCTCACTACATACGGGGATTTTCCGACCCGGCGCCATTTGTGTTGGCATTCTGTGGGCAAAACAATAGAAAAAGAAGCTGAAACGTGTTAATGTCGTGATAAAGTTGAAAATGGTCATCTCCTGCTGGGTCAATGGATGTTCAAATCGTGCCGGAGGTTCCGTTAAACTTGGATTTTACAGTATACCCATCATTAGACTTCATGAATGTGAGAAGACTAAGCTTTTGTCAGAACAACCACGGAGGTTATGGCTTGCGAAGATAAACAGGCAAGAAACTCCCTCAAAACACGCAAGAATATGCTCGGAGCACTTTGTGTCAGGTGCGTATCGTATCTTATAATGTGTTGACAGACGTAATTTACTCAGTACTAACTTGTGTATGCTGATATCTGGTAACTTGAGAGTTTCATTATTTAGATTACTTTATTATGAGGAGGATCGGTGTCGCGTCCGAGGCTCTCGAGGGCAACGTAAATGTATTAAATAGATAATAATAGTTCTATGGTGGGCTAAAACAATGTTCACAAACAGCATTGCTTCTGTAAAAAGATCTGTGTCATAAAATAAACTGCTCTTTACGCCTGGAAAAATCAGTTGCCCACCATTCACCAAAACATACGGTCAAAAACGCGGAAATAAACAATAACAGCAATCCAGAGTGTCCGTGTGGCATTAGCATTAATTAAATTAATTGTTAATATAATTAAAATAATTAAATGGAGCTCCAACTGGTATTAAATCTAAAGTTTTTGAGAAATGTTTGCATTGCTTGTTAATTTTTGCTGCATAATTTGATCAAATATGTAAAACATGTCCGTAGCACGTTAAACTGTGGTGCCATTGTATTAATATACAATTATTTGCTCAAAAGTTGCCCTTTTTTTCCAATTTGCGTTTGAATATCTACATTTATTCTCATTCTTCTGTTTAATGGAATGCACAAACACAGCAGCGTGCCATCAAAGATGGCGTCTCCGAGGAGGTCATGTGACATTCATTGGTCTGTGGGAACTATGTATAGTGTTCGAACTACTTTTGAACATTTTGTTCAAAAGGGGCCAAAAGCCTGTTTTGTTCTGAATCGTGTCAGCAGGCTCTGAAAGATACTCAGCCCTAGTAAAGGTAATATAATACAATATCATATATGGTACAAAACAACGCACGGCACACTGGCACATGCACACTCACACACTTACACCCACACACATTGTATTTCCTGTGTGAAAACGATTTGATTCTCTGATCTGTTGTTAAGGAATCGACAACTAGAAAAAGTGCTCCAAGGTGACTACTGTTTTGGGCTGTACACAAATAAATAAACTTCAAATTGCACACACACACACACACACCGTCTGGGAAGACATTTTGGTTTATTTTTTTTCAACATTTCTTTCAAAAATGGCTTCTTTCCCATACAGTTTTAGAGTTGGCACTTGCCCAAATATTGAAATACAATTCTACAACATGAATACAACTTCTACACAGCAAGTTGTCTACCTACAGCTTACTAGATTTCTTATAATCAACAACTCATTTGATATGTTTCAGTCCGGCTTTAGACCCCACCACAGCACTGAGACTGCTCTCGTCAAGGTTACAAACGATATCCGGCTGAACACTGACGCAGGCAAAGTCTCAATCTTAATCTTGTTAGATCTAAGTGCTGCCTTTGACACCGTCGACCATGAGATCCTCTTACAGAGATTAGAGGACTGGGTTGGAGTCGCTGGCACCGCCCTAAGTTGGTTTAGGTCTTACCTTGAGGACAGGAAGTACTTTGTGGAGATTGGAAACTGTGTCTCAGATCATATGGCCCTGACCTGTGGAGTCCCACAGGGGTCGATCCTGGGACCTCTTCTGTTCAATCTCTACATGCTGCCGTTAGGTCAGTTAATACGCAGAAACAAAGTTTCCTATCATAACTATGCAGACGACACTCAGATCTATGTCTCACTGACTGCAGGAGAACATGGACCAGTGGACTCACTCCTTCACTGTATCCAACAGATCAGTGAGTGGATGCAAAACAACTTCCTTCAGCTAAACGCAGACAAAACTGAAATGATTGTCTTTGGTCCCCAGAAACAAAGAGAGAGCGTCATCTGTCACCTACAGTCTCTCTCCCTAAAACCTTCAAACAAGGTCAGAAATCTAGGGGTAATACTGGACTCAGACTTAAATTTTAATAGCCACATCAAATCAGTAACATCAGCAGCTTTTTACCATCTAAAAAACATTGCCAGGATCAAAAACATAGTGTCTAAAGCAGACTTGGAGATTCTTATCCATGCATTTGTCTCCAGTAGGTTAGACTACTGCAATGGCCTGCTCACAGGTCTGTCCAAACAGGCTGTAAAACAGCTGCAGTACATTCAAAATGCAGCAGCTCGAGTCCTGACTAGAACCAGGAAGTACGACCATATTAGTCCGGTCCTCAGGTCTCTGCACTGGCTTCCTGTGGCTCAGAGAATAGACTTTAAAACAGCTCTGCTTGTGTACAAGTCTCTCCATGGCCTCGCACCAAAATATATTAGTGACATGTTAGTCCCATATGAACCAGCCCGGACTCTGAGGAGCACAGGGACTGGACTCCTGTTAGTGCCCAGAGTCAGAACTAAACATGGGGAGGCTGCTTTTCAGATTCATGCTGCTAAAATCTGGAACAGTCTTCCTGGAGATGTGAGACAGGCCTCCTCTCTGACAATGTTTAAAACCAGGTTAAAGACAGTTCTGTTTAGCTGTGCATACAACTGAGGGATTTTATATTTGTATCTTTCTTTTTAATGTTCTGTGATTATTTATGATTTTAATGCTTTCTTGTTTTGTTCAGCACTTTGAATTGCCTTGTGTATGAATTGTGCTATATAAATAAACTTGCCTTGCCTTGCCTTGCCTTGCCATCTACAAGGCTCTTATAGTATCTTGAAAATTCTTGAATTTATGAATTTGAAAATGGTACCTCAAAAAGACTTAAATAATCCTAGAATTTTGAATCTTGGTAAAATTGCAGACTGTACAATTTGTATCTGTATTGCATTCTCCACAATAAATAAATACATTACCAGGTCTGTGAAATGGGCTGTAGTTATTAGTTATTGATTTATTTTTGCATATATATATATATATATATATATATATATATATATATATATATATACAATTACAACATTGCACCAAAAACCAGACATTTGCAGCTAGAATAGTCATTTACCACATAAGCAATGTATAGAGTGTATTTCTTTACAATTAAGACTAGTTTAAAGTTTTCTACAGTGCTTTTCCTTCAAAAATAAGGACATTTCAATGTGACCCCAAACGGTAGTGTATATACATATATATTAATGCTAAAAAAACTTTGGACTTGAAGAAACCTTCACGGCTCCCGATCTACTCTATTTTAAACTTAATTATATGAACCGGCTCCAAATGCAGGCATGAATTCACTCCGTCCACCATCTGGCTCTGTCATCTAGTTCTGCTTTCCTTGTGGCTTCTGACCCTGTGCTTACACATTCTCTGGTTGTCAGAGAGTCTGCACTGAGCTCCTGGGTAAATGTCGACAGTTCTTTCCTCAAACTTTGTAAATGTGTTTGTTCAGAGGCGCTGGCGGCCGGAGACACGACTACAGCGGTGATGGGAATCGACTTCTGCGATTCCACACAAGCTGCAAACTTCCAGCTCTGGTGAGGATGGAATTTATGATGTTGTATATGAGCCTAGGGGCGACAATAGCTCAGTTGGTAGAGCATTGGCCTTAAGGCCAGAAGGTCGTGGGTTCAATTCCCACCTCTGCACCTTCTCCACCGACTCCCACTGTTGACTGCTGTCGTTGTGTCCTTGGGCAAGACACTTAACCCCACTTTGCCCAAAGCCCCCACTGAAAGATCAAGGCTATGCTCACACTCAGAGCAGCCGTCCTCCTGTGGACTCAACACCTGCAGAGGGTCAGTGAGGGGCTGGTGCTATGAGACTTGGGTGGCATCTCTGACTGCCACCCCCCTGACCCAGAAATGGATTAAAGGGTAGAAAATGGATGGATGGATGGATGGATATATGAGCCTACATCATGTTAATCACAAAAAACATTGGAAAAGACAGAGGAAACACAGAATATGGACTAAAGGGAACATACTTTGGCATCTCATGTGGAATGCCAGACAGAAAATATATGCAAATCATGTCACATAGCATGATACAACAATAAGCCATTTGGTGGTAGAAGTGGGAATTACAGGTAAAACACAAAAAATTAGAAGTTTGTTCAAAAGTCTTTTTTGTTAATTTTTTTCACTGGATGTCTTTTCAGCACGAACTCCAAGAAGTTCTTGGTGTCGATCCAGCCTCCGGTGGGAGAGCTGATGAGACCAGTGTTCATGACAGAGAACGAGTTCAAGAAGGAGCAAGGTACAAGTTAAACCTGAGGAAACATTTATTTACTTCAGAGTTGATCTATTGCTGGGTTGCAGCTGACGTCACGCAGGGGCATGAAAGCCCTCCGAGGGACAGGAAGTTAATTGCCCCATTTAGACCCATGTAAATCTTCACTGATTCTGAGTCAAAATGTTCTTTTTCTGTGGCGTGCACAGTGGCAACTGCTCGTATCAAATGGAGAACTAATGGAGTCTCTGTTTTGCAAAATATATTTCTCTAACGGGTGTCGATTTTTTAGAAAATACCTCCCGCAGGTGCTTCTCCCTCGCAGAGCAATACAGCAAGGCTAGAAGTCATTATAATCTATAAACAAGACTTTATTTATAAACCAACTTCAGACCCAGAAACACCAAGTCTGTGGCTTGCACAGGAGGTTGCAGGGTTTGTTTCACTTGCGCCGGTCGTTCAGCTGGAGCTTGCCCACAACCCAAAATGTGCTCCAAGCTCATTTGGGTTGACTTTCAAAATACACATTGAAGAATATACTGGTCATTAAGGATGTCATCATTCTCTTGCAACATTTTCTTGCGGGAGGAGCTGCCCGCGGCCATTTTGAAAAAGCCCTATAGAAGCCAAAAGTGATGGCACATTAGTTTCAACGGTGGAGATAGGCGTGACTACGTCCGTTTATATTTACTGTCTATGGCCACACCTCTGCCGCCCCCACTCTCCTTCACACACATTACACAGACCAATCAGAAGACGGCTTTGTCCCTGTAATAAATAAATAAATAGACTTTGCGTGTCACTTGTTCCTTCTTGTGTCTTTTCAGGTCAGCTAATGGGGATGAATGAGATCACTGAGAAGCTGACGCTGGACTCTCACTGTCGTAACGAACACGCCATCGTCCAGAGAGTAACAACTGCCGCGAACCTGAGCCGTGTGCCCTGCGGTGCCGACCATGAGTGCAGGTCAGAGGAGCCCATAATCATGAACCAACGGGTCTTACAGAGAAAGAAGAGAGGTTCAGGACTAACATATATTTTTTTATTCATACAGTATAAGGAATAAAATGAAGAAATATTAATTTTGTTAAAAATACATTTGAATAAATAAATAGGATAATAGTTTATAACTATGTATTAATTAAAATACTGTAGTTTCTGACCTGTTGAGCCCACGTATAAGTCACACCGGCAACAAAAGAAAGTACATTTTGTCCACATATAGACTACACTTGAATATAGATAGATAAGATAGAATAAGTTCAGGTGTCCAGTAGCAGCAAAAATAAAATATAAAATTGATCATTCTAAAGAGCTAACAATAGTAATAATCAGCAACAGCCTTTCAGGTCACAGTAGCAGAGGTGGAGTAGCCTCTGGGTGGAGCAGGACAGGTCACAGCAGCAGATGTGGAGTAGCCTCTGGGTGGAGCAGGACAGGTCACAGCAGCAGAGATGGTCTAGCCTTTGGGTGGAGCAGGACGGGTTAAAGCAGCAGTTGTGGAGTATCCTCTGGGTGGAGCAGGACAGGTCACAGCAGCAGATGTGGAGTAGCCTCTGGGTGGAGCAGGACAGGTCACAGCAGCAGAGATGGTCTAGCCTTTGGGTGGAGCAGGACGGGTTAAAGCAGCAGTTGTGGAGTAGCCTCTGGGTGGAGCAGGACAGGTCACAAGGTGGAATAGTCGCTTGGTGCTGACCATTTTCTCTGCTCTGGTCCATTTTAAAATGCTATATGCTTCATTAGCATTTTTCAAAAAGTTATTCTAGTGGATTTTCAACTGATCCGCTATAAGCCACATCTTGTAATGTAGCAGATAGACGACTGTTTTAACTGGTTCCAATATGATTTAATTATAAGGTGTTTAACAGCTTAACTATTTAACTCATTCAGCAGTCTATTTTGACAATAATTGACAATAATAGCTACTAAAGCTTGATAGAGCCAAAAGTCCATAAGCTCTGCTCTGCTCTGCTTCAAAGAACTAGACAAAAGTAACGGATTATAGTCCGGAAATTATGGTAGATAAAAATACAAATAATAATAGTACAAATAAGTAAATACAGAAAAACTAAATCAATACAGAACATGAATACAATAAAAATGATCTTTTTTAAAACACTTGACTAACTCGCTTCTCCACTTCTTACTTCCTATGTTTCCGCACTACGTTTCCGCTCTCGCTAATCTCCAGTGCTCCTGTCCCTCCTCCTATATTTCCCACCCACAGATTTGCGGCCCGTACTGTCACTGGGAACAGCCTGGTCCTGGTCACCGTGGCAATCAAGCAAGAGGCGGCTCAGGTCACAGTCAACTGCGACAAGATGCTGATCGGCACGATGCTGGTGAAGGAGATACTGCAAGCGCTGGCGCAGTGAGGGAGGCGAGGCTGACATGTAGCCTCTGTGTGTCTGTGTGGGGTAGAATCCAAAATAATGCAAATCCAGAATAGAGCATTAGCATTAGCAACGTTATCTCCGGAAAATATATAATGGGTTTTCTTTAATGCTTCACAGTATGGCTTCAAAGCTGGGGTACCTCACTTTCAAAGAATCGATTTATGTGATGAAATCCTTCTATCACTAGTTTTCACACGCATGTATTTTATGCCTCTGTCACATCTTAAGATCAACTTTAAAGCTGGGGTATGTAACAAAAGGCTGGAGTACATAACTTTCAGATCACACCAATAGAACTGTAATAAAATCATTGGTTCCACTTCCTGGCTCAAAAATTGCTTGCTTCCATCACCAGTGGGTAAAGACAGCATGTTGTGGTCTGATTTGTTCACATCACAAGACTCTTTTGTGACAATCAACATAAAAAAGTTAGGATCCCAAGCTTTAACCTAATCTAGTATCTCCCCTCAAACTCCTTTCTTAAGTGGTTCCAGTCTCTCAGGACTGGAACCACTTTAGGAGTGTGAGACTGTATAGGGATGAATTGTGGTGAAGAGGCAGCAGCATCCGTCAAAGCTCTCAATTTACCAGTTGTCTACGTTCCCTCCCTCACCTCTGGTCATAAACTTTGGATGATGACAGAAAGGACCACAATGCAAGCGGTTTCTTTTTGCTTTTTTTACCATCTTTCCTTGGTTTTTAGTTTTTTCTTCCATGTCTGAAAAGAACGGTCAAAATAACACATTTGTACAAAATTATATTTTGGTGTGTTTTTCTGTATGCCTGTCATCTGTCCTAAGATGAAGTGTCTGAGGAGTGGGAAGCGTTGTCACTATTAGAATTATAATGAGTGGAGGAAAAATAGATGCTCAGCCATATTGTGAAATATTTCTGTTTTTTCAAAACAACAACCACATTTTCCCTTTCACAACCCAGTGTTATAAATACATTCCTCTTATAGGACAGACTGGTGTTTCAAATCATGTACAAAAGTTTCAACCCTGATATAAAAAGTCCAATATGACAAGTGTGGTGTGCATGAGTGTGTGTTTGAGATCACAGAAGTAACATTCATTTATTTATGTTTTCTCGTCCGCAAAATGGCCTTTTTAAATCTGACGTCGAGCTATCACTGGCAGCTTTTCTGTTTTTCTTGCCATAGGTTTTTGAATGTTAACAAACATGTTCTGTAATCTATTTATTTTTGTTGGATTACAGTCATACCAGCTATCAGTCTGCCCTTCAAAATCAATAAGCCGAATTTATAACATGTATTTGTATAGCCCTAAATGAATCACAACAGTAGACGTCTTGGAGGACTTTACAAAGTTGTCTATTCGCCAACAACAGATCAGAGAGTCAAACAGATCAAACACCGGAATTGCAATCATAAAAAAACACATAGGAGCCAATGGAGTGGGAGGACCACTGTCCAGAAATATTATTAAATGTCCCAGATCACCACTGTTATTAGATCCTCCTGCATCGGCAAGGAACGACAAAAAAAAGGGTTAACCTTGGGGAGACATCATGAGAGAGTGATGTTCTATGGAATGAGTATGTAAATCCAGGCCTGAGGCTGTAGATCCAGGACTGAGGCTGTAGATCCAGGACTGAAGCTGTAGATCCAGGACTGAAGCTGTAGATCCAGGACTGAAGCTGTAGATCCAGGACTGAAGCTGTAGATCCAGGACTGAAGCTGTAGATCCAGGACTGAAGCTGTAGATCCAGGACTGAGGCTGTAGATCCAGGACTGAGGCTGTAGATCCAGGACTGAAGCTGTAGATCCAGGACTGAGGCTGTAGATCCAGGACTGAGGCTGTAGATCCAGGACTGAAGCTGTAGATCCAGGACTGAGGCTGTAGATCCAGGACTGAGGCTGTAGATCCAGGACTGAAGCTGTAGATCCAGAACTGAGGCTGTAGATCCAGGACTGAGGCTGTAGATCCAGGACTGAGGCTGTAGATCCAGGACTGAGGCTGTAGATCCAGGACTGAAGCTGTAGATCCAGAACTGAGGCTGTAGATCCAGGACTGAAGCTGTAGATCCAGGACTGAGGCTGTAGATCAATATCATATTCGTTTTTATTAGTTCATAATATTTTCTGCGGCCTATATGTTCATTTGTAGCAGTTTCATAACTTACATTTTTGTAAAATAAAAATAAATTAAATAAAATAAAGCTGTTTCTATGCATAAAAGTAAAATAAAGTGGACTATACACAAACATATCTGTTTTTATTATTACATAATCATTTCTGCCGGCTATATATACTTACAGTACATCTTCGTAAAAAATTGCTGTTTTTATGCATTCACTTTTTCTGTCTTGAATCAAAATGCAATCTGCATCTGCTTTTGACTGCTACACGTTGGTTTTGAAGGGCGACACAAAACGAAAGCATCTTATTACAGAGACTGTATAACAGCAGTGAGGAAGACGATGGTTTCCTTCTGACCAAACTTTTGTTTTTTGCTGGAAAAGCTTAGAGATTTAAAAACTGCTTCTTCATCTGAACGCAGCCTGCTCTGTGTGTGAACTGGAGTTGTCTATTTATTATACAAATAAAGTTATTCAAAATCTGGTGCTTGCCCATTTTGTTTGTAGCTCATATTAACTATAATGCATCGCTTGCATGTGAAATCCTGATCTCAACTGACCTCTGAAGATAAGCAGGGTGGTATGTGGTTAGTGCGGTGATGGGAAACCCCACCTGTGTGTTTGTTATAATCTTAAATCCACACTGCCATCTTCTGGATACATCATCTAAAATTGATTACTGTGTGTGTGTATATGAGTGAGATTGGTGTGGCCAATGGATGGGACAGATTAGTTTCCTTGTTTCTGTCAGTGTGCCCCAGGCCAGATGTGGCTTCAGTAGTAGTTTATCGCCACAGTACAGTCTTTGAGTGTTGAAAAATATATTAAAACATAGCATTATTATCCAATAATTATGAAAATCCTGATTCCAATCTAACTGTATTCATAAAGCACCATTAAAACCCAAAGTGCTCTGTAGAAGGTAAAATATGAAAGTAGTTCAGAAAAATACAATAAAAACAGTGAAATACAAAGAGATAAAGACGCTAGTTAAAAGCCAAAGAAATGATGTGTTTTAAGTATTGATTTAAAAGCCGTAGGTGAATCAGCTTTCAAGTTTAAATGGCAACCACCCACAAAAATAATCTCTAATCCATGTTTCTTTCCCTAAAACCATGGACCTATTTCATTAGTCTAATAAACCATGCATTTACACCACAGACTGTATGATGTATATATACACACACTCACACACGCACCCACACACACACACACACACACACACACACACACACACACACAGTAATCATTTTAAGATGATCGTCTCCAGCAGATGCAGTGTGGATTTAAGAATATAACCAGATGCACATAACTTTTTCAGTGAGGTACTCAGATAGATCCATGGCACATCCATGGCTGGTGTTTGGTACTCACTCGATTTGTCGCGTGGTTCTTAATCGAGATTTTATACTTAATGCGAAAGTTTAGATCAGTTCAGATAATTCACTGTTTGTTCACAACATTTTACTTATGGGCACAACCAACATTATTATGCATTGTTTATGCAAGGGAAAATGTAGGTACCACAGATTTAAAGGCGCTTACTAACTCAAGTGATAGTACGCATTTATTTATCCATCCACTTTCTTCCGCTTCATCCGTTGCCGGGTCGGGGGTCACAAAATACAAATAGTAATAAAGTATAAAAGATGATGATAACAACAATAATGATTATACAAATAATTCAAATTAAATCCACCGGATGTGAAACCACGATTGAGTGTGTGAGCAGTGGCAGAAAGCATGGGACAGGGAAACAAGAGAAAGGCCCTTTTACAGCATCCAGCAGAGTATTAGTGGGGGAGATAAAGCGACCCGGGGTAACAACAGGAAGGAGCAGGTTTTGGGTTTTGATAACCAGAATGAGACTAGGTCACTGTGGGCTTGCTCAATGCCTATTTTGGATCGGAAAGCAGAGAGATGGTCTGTGTAAAGAGTGTAGTGAGACAGTGAAACACACAATCGTGAGTGTACTTTTTACATTGTACACTCACGATTGTGTGTCCTCCTCTGACTCAAACTTGATCATTAAATATGCTGATGACACCACCATCATTGGTCTCATCAGTGACACTGATGAATCCTCTTATAGAGCAGAGATACAAAATGTGGTTCAGTGGAGTCAAACTAACAACCTCCAGTTGAACGCATCCAAAACATGTGAACTGGTCTACGACTTCAGTCGCAATAGTTCTCATTTGCCTGTCGTAATCGACAACTCCCAGGTGCAGATCGTAGAGGAGCAAGTTTCTGGGTTTAACTCTGTCTAACCTGAAATGGGTTAAAAACACTGACCGAGTCGTTAAAAAAGCTCGTCAGCGTCTCTACTTTCTGCGTAAACTTAGAGAATTTACCACTAACTCTAAGATTCTGCTTAACTTTTATCGCTGCACCATTGAGAGTTTACTTGTTGGTTCTGTGTCTGTGTGGTTTGGAAACATCACAGATAAAGAAAAGAGAGCTTTAAACAAGGTGCTCCGCTCTGCAAAGAGGACCGTGGGCTGTGAGCTTCCTGTTCTGGAGGTTCTTTATAAATCCAGACTTTTAAACAGAGCTCTTAGAATTATCAATGACTCTTCTGGCCACCCTGGAAACGTCTTGTTCCAGCTTCTTCCCTCTGGCAGAAGATATCGTTCTCTGAGATGCAGGACATCTCGTTATGCTAATAGTTTTTTAAAGCTGTTATCAGTTTGAACCATAGACTGTAAAAAATAATGGACAGAGTCACGCCTATCTCCCTCATTCAAACTAATGGGCCAAAATTAGTGCTCTACCGGAGCTATCCAAAATTACCGCGAGTGGTCCCGCCCACAAGAAAATTGTGAAAAAACCAGTGGGGGAGGGTCCCAGCTCAAAAGTGGCCAAAACGACGTGCGCTGACATGCTGCAATACCACCCCGGGCCGATGGGGGTGGACCCAGAAGTAGAATTAGCCAATGCTAACATAAAGCATTGGCAGACCTCTCAAAAACGTCTTTACAGGATGGACCAAAAGTTGGCTCTTGGCCCAAAGCTCCGTTCCACATGTGTGTCAATGCTGAGGGGGGTGGATTTTTTTGGTCCACTCTAGTTTAGTTGCTGTGAATTTCTGAAGTCTCTCGTTCAAATGAATGGAGCTGCGCCGGCTGACGCATGCGCAGATGCGTTTTTTCACAATTTTCTTGTGGGCGGGACCACTCGCGGCCATTTTGGATTGCTCCAGTAGAGCACATTTTTTGGCCCATTAGTTAGAACGGCGGAGATAGGCGTGACTCTGTCCATTAATATATACAGTCTATGGAAAAAACGCATCTGCGCATGCGTCAGCCGGCGCAGCTTCATTCATTTGAACGAGAGACTTAAAAAATTCACAGCAAGTAAACTAGAGTGGACCAAAAAAATCCACCCCCCTCAGCATTGACACACATGTGGAACGGAGCTTTGGGCCAAGAGCCAACTTTTGGTCCATCCTGTAAAGACGTTTTTGAGAGGTCTGTCAATGCTATATGTTAGAATTGGCTAATTCTTATTCCGGGTCCACCCCCATCGGCCCGGGGTGGTATTGCAGCATGTCAGCGCACGTCATTTTGGCCACTTTTGTGCCGGGACCCGCCCCCACTGGTTTGAACAGAGCACTTTAATGATCTTACACTTGTATAGAAACTGTTTTAGTCGGTCAATTTCATAGTGACATTGTTTACTTTTTTATTTGTTTTATTTCTGTACTTTTAATGTTGCTTTATGTCTGTACTTGTCTTGTGCACACTGGGAACTTTTGCTAATGTATTCCAATGTGGTTTTACTGCAAATGGCGAATAAATGATTCTGAATCTGATACAAATATGCGGACCAGAGAAAACTGCTTTTTCTCGTGTTCTTCACTTGGGACAAGAACGTGTGACACTGAGAGATCCTTGCTTGCCTCCCCATGCGCAGCAGCAAGAAGTGTTTCGTGCACTGGTGGAATTTATGTTTGGCACTGGACCGTACCAAAGAATTTGAGTGGACTTTAGGTGCAGTAATTGGATCCACCAGTGAAAGGCAGCAATGAAGTCTGCCGGAAATGCACAGGAAGAAGAAGAAGAAGTGACACCATGATGCGGAAGTGATGCGGAAGTGATGCATTGTTTATGATCGCGGCAGTCGCTCTGAATGAAAAAAAAAAAAAAAAACAAATCTTCAGTCTGGGAATATTTCAACATTTGTCATTGTTTGAGGTGTGTATATAATCCGTATGCAAATCTAACACTGAGTTCATTCAATACAAGCTGTGGTTCAGGTTTTTAAGTGGACTTTACGGTTGGAATACATGCTATGCTAACACTAATGCTATCAGAAAGCTTGTCAGACACCGCAGGCTGTTGATGAATCAGGCTTTAATTGTGATTTTTATGTGAAAGTTAAATAAATGCTGTTATTTGATTCGTTTTAGGTGTATTAAACTGAACTGAAGGACCAAAACAATGAGCACCCAAGTAGGTAACATGTAACAACAACACGTGCAGTTTACCTCTTTTGCAGAAACATGTTCTTATTGATTTTTTTGGTTATTTCCCATTTCAGTACAGTATACTGTTCAAGCAGGAACACGGTAAGTCGTTTTTATTTCTTTGATATTGTGCCTTTGTCTTACCAGTCGTCAATACTCATGGCTGCTTCACGTTCACCTTTTGCATCTCGTTTTGAGTGCTCTTTTCCTACTGATGGTAAGGCAAGGCAACTATGCTATTTATATAGCATAGTTTATACACAAGACAACTGAAAATGCTTAACAAAACAAGATGGGAACAATCACAAGAGGCATTAAAAGCATAAATAATTACTGTACATTGAAAAGAGTGAAGATGCAATCCTTCTGTTGTATGCACATCTAAACTATTGTTTTCAACACCTATTAGTCTTCCTTGACCTAGAATGTTGGAATTGTCCAGCTATATACAGGCTATGGTCTCTAAAACTATACATATACTATAAACCTAAACTATTCTTTGTTAAACATGTATTTTTTCTGCAGCTCATGACGACGCAATTTGGACAGCAGCTTGGGGCAAAAGTGAAGCAGACGGATCCGAGACCATTGTCACGGGGTCTCTGGACGACCTGGTCAAAGTCTGGAAATGGTAAAGTAAACTACAACTTTTAAGTTTTTTTAATTGACTGCGCAGGCGCTGGAGGAGCTGGCTGCCCGTCCCATTGCGCTCTTCAGCTTCAACCTTCTTTCTCTCTTTATAGCTGTTTTTATTTTTATTTTGTAAATATCGTTTTTATAAATCACTGGGAGAATAACCGAGTCACACGGATTCCATTTTACCACGCCAAATTCTGTTGTATTATCTAAGTTTTGAGGACTTATCCTGCTGCCGTGATGTGTGTGGGACCACAACACCCCCTCCCCCCGGGCTCCTCCATTGTTTACACAAGGGAAGAGCTGCTGGCTGTGAGGAGCTCCGTGGTCATGCCGCGGGACCGGCATGAGATCCCCGCGGAGCTGCTACGGAAATCCACTCGTGGATGTCGCGCGGGACGTAACACGCAGAGAGAAGAGGCGGGGACGCTACAGACCCACGCTTACCTCTGTTACTACGGGCAACATGCGCTCTTTCTCTAACAAAGCGGACGAACTTCAGAGGGAATACAGAGACAGCAGTCTACAAATATACACGGAAACTTGGCTAACAGAAATCATGCCAGACTCTGTCATAGAGCTGGACAACTTCACACTTTTCAGAGCGGACAGATCAAAGCTGCGCACCGGTAAGAACAGAGGGGGAGGGCTTGCCGTGTTTGTGAACAATTACTGGTGCAAAGCTGAGCACTGCATTATCAAAACTGTGGTATGCTGTAGAGACATAGAGTTGCTAGCCATTGGCATGAGGCCTTCCTATCTGCCTCGGGAGTTTAGCCATGTTATTGTGGTAGTGGCCTACATTCCCCCATCAGCCAAGGCTGAGGATGCGTGTGACCTTTTGCACTATACTGTAAGTAACCTACAGACTCTGCACCCCCAAGCTCTGTTTCTGATCACTGGGGATTTCAATCACGCGAACCCCCAAACTGTGCTTCCCACATTTACCCAGTACATCAGCTTTCCCACAAGAGACAATAGAACTTTGGACCTCTTCTTTGCAAATGCCACAGGGGCATACAACCCAACTGCCCTCCCCCCCTCGGCTGCTCTGACCATAACATCGTGCACCTAAGGCCTGTGTATACGCCCATTGTACACCGAGAACCAGCCACTCCCCGGCTGGTCCAGAGGTGGACTGTGGAGTGTGAAGACAGGCTGAGGGACTGTTTTAACTGCACTTTGTGGGACGAACTGTGCGACCACGGGGACGACATCAATGCCATCACGGAATGCATAACGGATTACATCAACTGTTGTGAAATCGCTGTGCCTTCCAAGATGGTACGATGCTTCTCCAACAATAAGCCGTGGATGAACATTGAGATTAAGGCCCTGCTGAAGAAGAAGAAGAGGGCCTTTCTATCAAAGGACAAACAGGCACTGAAGGAGGTACTGAAGAAGATATCAAAGTCTGGGATCGCGTCTTTCATTCAGACAGAAGACATGTTTTATTGTCGATGGTAGAGACAGCACGAACAACACGAACAACAGAATGCAAGTGTATTATACAGAGCGGAGACATGGAGACCTCCAATCAGCAGCTGCCACGGTGCCATGTAGCTTGGCCTTCACATAGACAAAACAAGGGAAAAGTACTGGCTTCTGCACATTGATAGAATGATGAGTTTAACTTTAACAAAAGTTGCTTAAAAGTGTTATGAAATCTCACATTCCCCCCTCTGGTCACACATTCACGTGTGACCATCAGGATTGATAAACAGCAACATAACATCATAACTCAATACTCAAAAACTCATAAACTCGGTACTTCACTCAGTACTTCAAAAAACTCAGAACTCGGAATACATCAGAAACTCAGAAAACTCATAAAACATGTTCAAATGTTTCATAAAACTTGTCAACAATCTTCAGCAAAATACCAAACTTCAGTCGATGGTTTCCAGATATTGCTTTGAAAACAGTCTCTCCCACTTCTCCGGAAGAATGGGCAAGAATTCCAGTCTCTCAATGTGCAAAACTGATAGAGACATACCCCAAGCGACTTGCAGCTGTAATTGCAGCAAAAGGTGGCGCTACAAAGTATTAGCGCAAGGGGGCCGAATAATATTGCACGCCCCACTTTTCAGTTTTTTATTTGTTAAAAAAGTTTAAATTATCCAATAAATTTTGTTCCACTTCACGATTGTGTCCCACTTGTTGTTGATTCTTGACAAAAAATAAAATGTTTATATCTTTGTTTGAAGCCTGAAATGTGGAAAGGTTCAAGGGGGCCGAATACTTTCGCAAGGCACTGTATATCTCGTTTTTTTAATAATGAATATAGCTTAAAACAGACCCTTGAAACAACCATCACCAGTAACATTTGCTGGAGTATAATAGTTTGACCAATGAGGAGGAGCCTCATTTGTCTAACAGGGATTTGAATTAATTGCGTTGAGTGAAAAAGCAGAGATCTGAGAAGTGAACCAATAAGATCATACTTCCTGTTTCTTGTCAATATTCGAGCTGCAGCGTTTTGAATATTACAATCCACATTATCAATGCATATTACATCCCCTATCAATAATGGAGGAGGAAAGAAGACTTCAGTCGCCATTGAGATCATAAACACAAGCTCACAATGTCACCCATATATTTAGATATATTACTGCACTCCCATATAACTGTCGGCTCCAAAAAAAGTTAGATCGGTTGTTCACCACTAACAATTATATAATTAGCTATTAGATTAGTGAGTAACTAGACTGTTACACACAAACATAATTACATCATCATAGAAACTGAGCCTGTTGTCGTGCAGGAGTGACGAGAAGCTGGAACTGCAGTGGACTCTGGAGGGACATCAGCTGGGCGTGGTCTCTGTCGACATCAGCCCAAATGGAGCCGTTGCTGCCTCCAGCTCTTTAGATGCTCACATCCGCCTCTGGGACCTGGACTCAGGAAAACAGATAAAATCCATGGATGCGGGGCCAGGTAAAGACGTCTATTAGGACCAAGTGCTGACGTCACCATAGTGTTAGCCTTAATCATATACAGTGGGGCAAAAAAGTATTTAGTCAGCCACCGATTGTGCAAGTTCTCCCACTTAGAATAATGACAGAGGTCTGTAATTTTCATCATTGGTAGACTTCAACTGTGAGAGACAGAATGTGGGAAAAAAAATCCAGGAATTCACATTGTAGGATTTTTTAAAGAATTTATTTGTAAATTATGGTGGAAAATATTTATTTGGTCAATAAAAAAAATTCCACTCAATACCTTGTAATATAAACTTTGTTGGCAATAACAGAGGTCAAACGATTACTATAGGTCTTTACCAGGTTTGCACACACAGTAGCTGGTATTATGGCCCGTTCCTCCATGCAGATCTTCTCGAGAGCAGTGATGTTTTGGGGCTGTCGCCGAGCAACACGGACTTTCAACTCCCTCCACAGATTTTCAATGGGGTTGAGGTCTGGAGACTGGCTAGGCCACTCCAGGACTTTCAAATGCTTCTTACAGAGCCACTCCTTCGTTGCCCGGGCGGTGTGTTTGGGATCATTGTCATGCTGGAAGACCCAGCCACGTTTCGTCTTCAAAGCTCTCACTTAGAACTAAACGGCTCGACCTCAGCTGATAGAGCATCTACAGCTTTCACAAAGGTCGGATTTTGTGGAGATTTTAGTGTCCCTTGTCATCCCGAACTTTTTATTTTCTTAAATTCTTCGTTTTTCTTTAACGCCACTCTTTAGTGCCACAAACTCTGCTCGTTTGGCACCCGCTCTAACTCCCACTCTAGCTCAGCTCTGATCAGCAGCGGTAATTGGTCAAAGCGCGGCCGAGCCCCTCTGCGCACGTGCATGGGAGCCACACACGCGTATTCGGCGCAACGCATCATGGGAGCTCGTCCAGTGCGCAGAACCGGGAAGACCAGACCCAAATATAGGCTAGTTCCGCTAATCTTTCGGCGCCCATGCTGAGCACAAACCATTAATTTGAATACGGCACCATCTTGGAATGCCAAGGCTTGGCCTTAATGCAGAAGAGGCCAATTTGAACATAAGCTAGCTAGACAATTTCCTTTTATGGACATTTCTTCCCGCAATGTGAGCTTCGTGCCATAACAGGGGCAGACATGTTGCTAAGACTGTTCAAAAGGAAGGCATCTGATTGGTCAGACAGTACAAAAAAAAGCAAGTTTTCAACCCAAAATGGTGAGTGAGACACAAACGGCTACTGAGCTAGAGTACTTAACTTTCAATGTAAAGCCCCGTCCCAATTCTCACTCATGCCCTTAAAAACCACCCTTGCGCTCAAGTGAGGTCCGGAGCTCACTTGCGCTCAAGGGTGATCCCATGATGCATTATGATAGTTGTTGTTAAAGTAGCTGTCAGGCAAAGCCGCGCCATAATGAAAGAAAACAACATGAATCTCCCGGGCGCAAGTTTGTGCGGAACGGGAGGAAGCTCCGAAGCGTGCACGAGTCATTCAGAGTTTTAAAAGCGTGTGTTGGTGCTGTGTGTGGTGACGTTCACGCCCGAAGCAGCTGTAGCGGGTGGCGTTCGCTGAGGCTTCAGAGACGTGGTGCATGTTATTATTATAGATCCATGATGTAGTTCAGAGCATCGTCTGTCTCTGTGTGGTACGTCTCTGTGCGCGTACGTGTATGTACATGCGTCTGTCTGTGTGTGTGTGTCTGCCTGTGTGTGTTCATGTGCGTTTGTGTCAGTCTGTCTCTGAGTGCGTGATGTGCAGCAGTTCTGTACCTAATTATAGCATATCTTCATATGAAATAGAATTAAAAACATCTCATTTTAATAAATACTTTGTTTACAAAGTCATACCTGTTTTAGATCTTATCTGTGGGTTAGTGAAATCAGACACATTGATAATGCGTGTGACGTGAAACACCTTTGCTGCGTCATTTGCATACTGTCCTCTAGATCCAGGGGTGTCCCAATTCTTAGGCCCTGTTTATACTGAGACGCTGCGCAGACGTTTCCAGGCTATTAACAGAAACGACCAGGCTCCTAATGCAAATTTCTCAGCGTTCACATGAGGTTGAAAAACGATGTAGTTCTAGCGCCCGGCCAGTAGTGGGCAGAGAAACTTTACAACACTCACACGACCCCCAGCCCCGTGCCCAGCCCCCCTCTCAGCAGTATATTCACTTCCTGTGCCAGACCCTCAGAAAGTACCAACATCATTCTGTATTTTAACAGCAGCTGTGAACATGGGAACTGAACCTAGAGCTTCGCGTGGTCTCGTTTGGACGAACGAAGGAGTAGAATTATCCTCTGTGCTGTGCTGGAAGCCCACGTAGCTAGTTAGTGCGCGCGGCGCCATTGTTGTGGCGGCACGGTGGCTGAGTGGATAGCACTCTCGCCTCTCAGCAAGAAGGTCCTGGGTTCGAATCCCGGTCGGACCAGGGCCTTGGAGTGGAGTTTGCATGTTCTCCCCGTGTCTGCGTAGGTTTCCTCCGGGTACTCCGGTTTCCCCTACCACAAAAAATATGTGCATTAGGTCTGGCATGCACCTCCTGTACTGGCCCCGCTCCCATCTCTGTGTGGAGTGAGAGGACAAATGCCCTAAAAAATAACAATTGTAAACCGCTTTGAGACTCCGATGTGCAGTGAAAAGGCGGTATATAAATAAAGATTACTGTTGTTTTTGTTTGTTCTCCGCTACTGCGCATGTCCAAATTTATGTGCGGGGAGCAGCGCGGAGGTGGGGGTCCGAGCAGAGGGGGATTTCACACCTTTTCCAGTCTCCGTATGAACGGTTGGTAGCAACCGACATCCAACTATACCGTTTTACCGCCACATTGTCTCCGTGTAAACTCAGCCTCAGGTGAGTGAACTCACAGGATATTCACCCTATGGGAAGGCACTTTTCTGGTGAGGGTACTCACACCTCGAGGGCCCTCAGAATTGGGACTTAATTGAGCTAGCGAGTTAGTGTCCATGTACAGTATAAATAAATCGATTAGACATCCGATAATTTTGTATTTATTTATTATTTAGTTCAGATCCTAAAGCTTAGTGAATATGCTCCTAGAGAACACTGAGTGAGAGGGCTTCCACCGCAAGGCAGGTTTAGCCATATGTTTTCAAGTGAATAAGTCGTTTCACATTCTAAGTGTTACTCAAAACGTGCACCCCCGTGAATCTCCACTAATGCCAATTAGCCCTGTTTCCACCAGCCCTACTGTATTTGGTTGTGTTCCTATTACTATTTTGTATCTTACGTATGTATGTACCGTATCCTCGCAACCTACTACCCACAACCAAAAAGTATCCGGTCCAATCTTTACGGGTGGGTTGCTAGGATACAGTACCAGATACTAGGGCAATGGAAACGACCAGATAGCCAAGTAGAGTGTCAAGTCGGGCTGGCGGAAACAACTCTCCAGTTTGTGGTTGTTGACTTCACTTTATCATCTCATGTCTCTGTACTCTTGTGTCGCAGTCGACTCCTGGTCTGTGGCCTTCTCTCCAGACTCGAAACACATCGCCACCGGCAGCCATCACGGGAAAGTCAACATCTTTGGAGTGGAGAGTGGAAAGAAAGAGTATTCCTTAGACACAAGGGGGAAGTTCATCCTCAGCATCGCATACGTGAGTATCCTGCATTTAGTGTTTAAGTCAGTAAGTAATCTTTATTTATATACCGCCTTTCACAGACCAGAGTCACAAAGCGGTTTACAATTGTTATTTTTTTGGCATTTGTCCACTCACTCCACACAGAGAGGACAGCGGGGTTGCCAGTACAGGAGGCGCATGCCAGATCTATTGTACATGTTTTTAGTGGTAGGGGAAACTGGAGTACCCGGGGTGTGTATGTCTGCTCAATGTGTGTGTGGATCGTACTCATCAGTGTGTGTTTGTGGTGCTCTGCAGAGTCCGGATGGGAAGTATTTGGCGAGTGGAGCCATCGATGGAATCATTAACATTTTTGACATTGCTACAGGAAAACTGCTCCATACGTTGGAAGGTAATGATTACACCTTAATCACATTGAATATTCTCTTCCAGGATTACAAACAGTGAAGACTTAAGTGTGAGGATTAAACCACAAGGACAATTATGAATATGTCAGAAGAAAAAGACTTAAGTGGACAAGCTGCGGTACTGTTTAAAACGGCCAACAGTGTCAAAATTCACTCATACTCCCTGCCACTAGTTGGCAGACATGTCGGACTACCTCCCTGACCCCAAAAACGACATGCTCCCATACAAAATAATTGAGGAAGACCGCGTTGAACCAGTGCGGAAATCATAGCGAAGCGAGTGCAGCTACGAGGCAGCCTGCGAGTGATGCACCGCACCAAACACTAACTTTAGACACTTTGCTCAGTGTCAGTGGTGAGAACAGTGTTTCTCTGGGTCAGAGCTGTCACTGGAAGGTTCGAAGACAGGTTAGATTTGCGGAGAACAAGCGCTGCGCCGCGATCCTCAGACTGCAAAAAGTCTCCACTAAAATCTCCGCTAATAGTGCTTCCCACAGATGTATTTTCAGGCCTCCCATAATCACGGGCACAGTAACGTGTTGGAGAAGCCTTTGTCTTGTGTTTGTTAGACGAGATAGAGAGCAGGGGAGACAGCAGTAGCAGGCAGAGTCGCGGTGACTCAGGCGCGCGCTTCACCTGGAGGGGCGCGTCTGGGCAGACTGCTCACAGCAGCAGCATGATTTGTATTTTGTGCTATTTCCATGAACATTTACAATGTTACAGTGTGAGTTCTGTGTGTGTTCATGTCCTATATAGGTCTGTCAGTTAGAATTTTCATAAAATATTTTTATTTCTCTAACATCCACAATATCTAACGCCATATGACGTCATAATATGCTAATTCGATGGGTGGATTTATTCCCTACATAAACTTTGGGCCATCTTTAATATATTTCAATTTACAGAAAGCCTATATAATTCACCAACAGATCAGAATCAAACAGTTCGAACACAGGAAATGCAACAATAACAAATGGGAGCCATTCGTCCATAAGAGCTGGGATGACCACTGTTCAGAAATGTTAGTAAATGTGCATAAAGATTTGAGATTATTTGATATTTTTCTAAATGTACATTTATTTGATATTTTTACATTAATAATACTTTTACTGAACCTTTATTGTATTGTTTATAAACGCATCGTATCAACTGAAAAGTCTAAATTTACCTATTTTCTTGTCTGTGCAGGTCACGCCATGCCTATCCGCTCCCTCACCTTCTCCAAAGACTCTCAGCTGCTTGTCACGGCGTCAGACGACGGTTACATCAAAATATACGACGTGTGAGTTTCCTGCTCTCATGTCTCAGTAGCAGTAAATTCAGTCTGCAAAAGTACAAATACTCTGTCTCTCGTATCTGTAACAAACACTGTGATCTCCATTTGCAGACAACATGCAAACTTGGCGGGCACACTGAGTGGACATGCCTCCTGGGTCCTGAACGTGGCCTTCTCTCCTGACGACACGCACTTCGTCTCCAGGTAAAAACCAGAAAAGGGAATTATTATTATGACAGCTGAGAATGATTTGTGAAACCTACATTGATTTGTGAAACCTACATTGTATTTCATTTGTCAAGGAATGTATATTTCTGACCATGGGACACTGTGATGTACAGTCAGTATATATCAACAATATCCATCCATCCATCCATTTTCTTCCACTTTATCCGTTGCCGGGTTGCAGGGGCAGCAGTCTGAGCAGAGATGCCCAGACTTTCCTATTCACACACTCTTCCTCCAGCTCATCCGAGGGGAATCCCGAGGAGTTCCCTGTCCAGCTGACAGTCCCTCAAGCGTTTCCCCTGGTCTCTCCCCCAGGGAGGCGTCCAGGAGGCATCCCAAACAGATACCTGAGCCACCTCAACTTGCTCCTCTACACATTGTGAAGCAGCTCTACACTTAGCTCTTTCATCGTGACTGAGCTCCTCACCCTATAGCTAAGGGAGCGCCCAGCCACTCTGTGGAGAAAACTCATGAGGACCGCTTGTATCCGTGATCTCATCCTTCCGGTCATTACCCAAAAATCATTTTCAGAGGTGAGGGACTAAACTGAGACCCAGCGGTGAGTCGAGAGCTCTAACCGCTGCTCCCAACCTCATGCTCCAGCCTTAATTTGTCCTATCAGCAGTGTTGGGCATGTTACTTTGAAAAAGTAATTAGTTATAGTTACTAGTTACTTCTCCCAAAAAGTAACTGAGTTACTAACGGAGTTACTCCACTATAAAAGTAACTAGTTACCAGTAAAAGTAACTATTGCGTTACTTTTTCGTTTTGTTCTGGAACATAATGTGCACTTGACGTGCGCATTTTTACCTTTAACCTCAGTGAGTCTGAAATAGTGCCAATATTTCCATCTAGAAAAGGCTGTTTTGCTGCTGAAGTCCTGTTCACTCTTCATCTCTCTCTGTAAGCACTAAACACCAACACCCGCCACTGTGAATGTGGAAACACCGGTGAAGCACTGACTTCAGCCCAATCAGATGAACATATATATCATATAAATCAAGTGGACAATTTGTTTGGCTACAGCAAAATATGTTTCATGCCCGCATTGTTTGTTCATACAAAACGCAAAACTATGAGTTATGGGTCTTACCTTATAAATGACCTGCACAGTCCACTTCGGTTCAGACCAGTTCCGTGTTTAAGTCCAGATAATAGTTTGAGCGTAGATATATAATCCTCCATTTGGAAATGAGTCCAAAGAGTTTTAAAAAGTAAAACAAAACGCGTGTCTCGTCCGTAAACTCCTCTGTTTTGCTGCAGCCGGGTGCATCCAATTTCTAAAATCAACCGTCTTACACTTCACCTCTCTTTCTTATCATTCCCATAGTCATTGAAAAATTACCCTAAGTGCATTTTAAATTATCTTAAATATGTTATATGTATGTTAGCCAAACCTGTTTCTGTCCTTAGCAGATAAACCAGGAAGAAAAAGGAGCTTTCTGATGGAATTGTATGCAGCCGACTTCTGCGCTCACATGCGCTCCTCGAGGCTGGCCTCACGGTGATACAAGCCGTGGTTGAGCGCAATTAAGACCCATATTTGTTCCAAAAACACAATTTATGAGCCATCCTCTCAACTGTAGACATGTAGATTGTAAAGGAAATATGTTTTACATCAGCCAATAATTGCTGAGAGGTTTTTTCATCCTCCCTTCTCTCATGACTACAGGATCCTGTAATGACGGAAAAAAAGTTCATTGTGCGACTTGAGTAACGAGCAGTAACGGGGTGTCGGCAATGATAACGCCGTTATAGTTACAGTCAAAGTAATTAGTTAGATTACTCGTTATTGAAAAAAGTAACGGCGTTAGTAACGCCGTTATTCCCATCACTGCCTATCAGGAGGCTGTGAGCATTGGAGGGCGAATCAGTGCTTGTCTTGCAGGTTCTTTCTCTTTAAACTGCTGTAACGTTGCTGCCGCTCCTATTCAAAGTATATTTGTTTTCTGTTTTGATCCTGCTATCCTCATATACCTGATAACACGTCTCTGCTATTTCAGCTCGTCTGATAAAAGTGTGAAAGTGTGGGATGCCAGCTCCAGAGCCTGCATTAACACGTTCTTTGACCATCAAGACCAGGTAACACCACCGCAGTCATCCCAACTTTTTTCTCTCTAAAGCCCTGTTTCCACCAGAGCTACTGAGCCCTATTCTATATTAGGGCTTGGCAATAAATCAAATGTAGGCAATTAATCAACTTTTGGAAAAAAATTGTGGAAATCGAATTAAGGATATTGTCAGAGTTCCAGCTGTACATTAATTATACTTGCAATATCAGCACAATCTGTACCAAGACTTTTATAATACGTATTGGAAAACAAATTAAAAAGTGTTTTAATACTTTAATATTGAGTGGAAAGATTAAAAATATATGTTTAAGGACAACGTCTGTCTTCGGTGACTTTAATGAAAATCGATTTAAAATCAAAATTGTCCAAAGCAGGAAATAAAATTGCCCTGCGGGAAGGGCCACTTTCAGAAAAGTGATGAGTAAGTAAGTAAGTTATAGTCCATGAGTAGAAGCCAATTAGAACATGAGTTTGTTGGAGCCAATTTCCTCTAATGGGCCTTTGTTCCGAGGCGTTAGCTTTGCGCCATAACAGGGACAGATGTGTTTCCAAGACGGTTGCTGAGGCAAGCTGGAGTTTCCCCAGCAAGGATGCCCAGCTCTACAGTTTTTCTATCGCAGCGTCTTTGTCTAAACGAGGCCTGAGAGTAGTTTAATGTTTATATTCATAGTTCTAAAAAGGTCTCACATTCTCACATATGAAACAAATAAACTCTAAGTTTCTTTTTTTCAGGTGTGGAGTGTGAAGTACAACAGCTCAGGTTCAAAGATAATCTCTGCAGGAGACGACCGCTCCATCCACATCTACGACTGTCCTATGTGACACAGGACAGTGTCAGCACAAACTCCACAGGCTTCTAGAGCGCCACACTATTCAAATTTGCTCTAATAAATATTCTTTTTGTACAATTTGTCATTTCCTCTTTTAAAATAGACAGAATTTACTTTAGATTTGGATAGTTAGTTACTTTTGAGAAAGTATTGTAACGTTTCAATATTGCTCCTCAGTCAGAGACTGACAGAGATTGAGAGTTGTTTTTAGATCCATTCACGCTAATATCAGGAACCTCTGGCACAAACTTAACTCCACCCCTTCTGTCTAAAAGCACCTGTCTGTCCTGAGGTAGTATGTCATTCCACTATGAAATCACACCTTTTTTAAACAAGAGTATTGCCTATGATCTTTGGTAGTTTTTTTTTACGTTCTTTGAAATCACACGTCTGGTTTGCAGTGGGCAATTAGCAAAAACTGGATACATTTTTTTTGACTCATCCTACTACTACTTATTGTAGTTTGAAATGGCCATAAATATTGCATATTTCATCTTAAGGCAGAATTTTAAAGGTTCAAAAACAGACGTACTGTACAACCAGGCAAAACTTTGACCTGATACATAACAATGTTCACCATTCTATTTACTTACTGTAAAAGTTGTGCGTGTAAAACTCGGTCAAGCCTAGCCTGGCCTTAGCCATCCGTATACTAAGGTGTGGTACGACCAGGCTAGGTCAAACCCAATGTTCATTGAAAGTAATAATTGATTAAACAATACTTAGTCAGCTCTTACAGTAGTGTAGAAGTGTGTTATTGATGCTCTGTGCAATGTTATAGAAAATCTTGATTGTACTTATTCGATACTTATTTTCCACTACCAATTTATCTGTCAAGAGATGATAAAGACTAGACCTAATCTATAATACACACTTTAAAATTACTTTGTCGACTGGTACCAAAGGCTTGTATTATGTCCAGGTGAAACTTCAGCATAGTTTGCATTATGTAGTTCATAATTCCGGCATTAATTATACACAGACAATAGCAAATTTTCTCGTACTAAAATCCCAGTTTGAAATTATAGTTTTCAATCAGCCTTTATGAGCATGTGTTTCCCCCCTGTGGCAAAAGAAAAAACTACAACTACTGCACAACACTCAAACCAGGCAAATCATTATGGACTTTAGAGGAGCAGTATGAAAAAACCTGGCAAAAAAGGGTACTGCACTCTCCCTGACTAATTCAGCAGGGACCATAATAGTTAGAATAGAGAAGAGTTTTGTCAACAACAAATCTATAACCAACACCTTTTTCTCAAAGGCCCCGATAGAAATCCTCGTCTTATTCCTTGTTTTGTCATTAATGGTTTGAGAATCATAACGAGACCTTTAATTCCTGCGGACACGTTACTTTACCAGTGAGATTAGCTCAACACAGTGAGTTCTGTCAACCCAGATCACGGTTTTTTTGGTTGGTAAAATGGTGGAGGGTGGGACATAAAAAGGAAAACAAGATTCAAAACTTATTTTGAAATATAAATATCTTGGCTGAACTACTATTATCAGTTAAAGAAGTATTTGAAAAGAGCATGGTTTTTTAATGCCTTTTGACATATTAGGACCATTTAATTATGACTTGCCAATCTTACATATTGCTACTTTAAACATGACTGAATATTCACCATTTTATACAAAAGTTTCAATGTTTAATACAAGAAACTTAACATTAACCCGATCAATACATTTTACAATTGAATCCTCCCATTTATTATATACAGACATGCACTCTCTGTGAAAGTTGTGCTTATAAAACAGTGTTTAAAAGGGCTGGAAATAAAATATATTATTAAAAATTGCCCATTTTATGACTTTGTGGTGTTGGCAGAGATTACAATACAAGCAGTATGAGAGACTAGAGGGAGAGACCAAAGAGAGAGACCAGAGAGAGACAAGAAATGGCAAGTTTTATGCCTTTGGGGCATTGGCAGAGATGACTATACAAGCAGTGATGTCTTATATGATTGACAAAACAGCTTTTAAGTCAAATAAGTTGAATTTCTGACTATTTCAGAATTGTATGACAAAAAAACATTGTACAACTAAACGTAGCCAGCCCAAAGTAAGTCATCTTAATTTGTACAGCTTATTTCACAGACCAAGGTCACACAAAGCGCTTTGATTTTTGTTGTACCAGTAATTTCCCCTCACTCCATAATGAAGAATCTCTGGTTATATAATATAGATTTTGCTGGTTTGTTGGCTTTACACAGGTTTGTTAGGCAGACATGTCCACAAACAGCTGGTAAAATGGAGAAATTGGCAGATTTGAATGAAAGGAAATCCAGTTTTAAACAACTGAACTACTCATCTCACATCTGCACCTCACAAAAACTCTGCAGTAGACATCTTAGCACATGATTTTCACAAATTGCACGACTCAAATGACATCAAATTGCAAAAAACGACACAGTAGATGCAGTGTTATGATCGGCATCCAGACTCTCATCACATTCCTCAAACTTTGTTCACTTCCAGCCATTCTCTTGATAATGATTTTAGCATGGAATGACTTTAGTAATGTCATCTCCCAATTGCAAAAAGACAGCGACAGCTTGGTATTTAAGTGGCGAATAAAAGCCTGGTAAAGCTGGGGTACCTGCTTTTCAAACAGTACAAACTAAAGCAACGGGGGTATTTCAACAGGATCAGACCAGACTCCACCCATTTCCTCAAGTGAGTCGTGTCTGAACTAGAGTTTCGTTCGGGCCTGAAAAATGAAGCCCGACCCGGCCCGAGCCCGCTAATGTTGAGCCCGTATAAGCCCGACCAATGAACGCTGTATAACAGGCCCGAGCCCGACAGAACCCGACACATCTGATTTCCCGTTGTACGCACTCACCTTCCAATTGCAAGTTTAGTCTCCACTTTTGAATTTGTTTTGTCTCCACTTGATCCATTTCTACTATTGTTCCTGTTCGCTGTTGACCACAGCAGCAGGAGACACGGGGATGATGCGTTCACGGCTCGCTGCTGCTGTAGGACACGCTGGTTACAGTGTCATTAATATATTAACTTTTTTTAATAACTTGTTGTCAATCAACGGACATCGTTGATTATATATATATATATTATATATATATATATAATCATTATGTATAAAAATCATTTAAAAATAATAATAATAATAAAAAAGAAACATATTTAAAAAAATAAGCCAGAGCCCGGCACGAACCCGACAGCTGAGCGCCAAATGAGGCCCGAGCCCGGCCCGAACTCAGGTCGGGCCTCGGGCCTGCTCGGGCTTGGGCTGAAAAGCGAAACTCTAGTCTGAACCTGCTTAGAGTCCTGCTTGGTTGTAATGAAAACCTGAAGCCAAACCGAGTGGAATATCCCTCTGTTGCTTGTGCGAGTTGCTAATTGCGACCAGGAAATTTAAATGTTAAAATTGATTGTGAGGAACTCGTTCTTGTCGCATTGCTTTTTCGACTCTAAAACAACACTCATTCATTCACATCCAGGCTTTAGAATCCTCACATAACCACCAGCTGACATTGTGAGCTGTAAGGGTTCATTAATGCGCACATTTTTGAGCCTTGCCCTTTTTTTCAGTGGATAAACCACAGTGGGAAATAAAATCAAAGATTTAGGAACCTCAGCTTTAAATTATACCATATAGAAACAATATCTTATCCAATAATGGTGTCCAAATCTACAAATCTGTGTATTCCTTGGTCTCTCATCTCAAACGTAACTTAAAAAAAGTCCTGCATAATTTCTCATTTCATAAATAGGGCCATATTGTGTCCACCAGCTTCATAGTCTTTGCGATTAAAAAAGGCACAAATGCCCGAAAATCCTCAAAATTCAAAATATTGCTTTTTCGGGCTGCGTACATCGTTATGGGCCGCTTGAACCGTGAGAGGAGTCTTGTCTTTGGACACGTTTCCTCTTCTCTCATCCTGTTGTTCTTTTGCGTTGCATGAAGCTAAAGTCACCAGTGCCGCGTGTCAATCAGCTCCGCTCTCAGACTCAGTCTCTTGAGGGTTTCATATCCCACCACGATGAGCACCGAGGTGGGAGTGGAGGAGATAACCCGAGCTGACAGGCCTTTAGTGAGACCCCATACTCCATCCTCTGCCATCAGCTGCTTGAAGGTGCCGATGACGGACGAGTGGCCTTGCACCTGAAGAGAGGTGGGGAGACAAAATATATATGACTGTAAACTAAGTTACAGGAAATAGGGTAGCATTGCACACTCAGCTCAGATGTCCAAGATCGTATTCATTCATGGCCTTTTGGCTTTATGCCTTCATCAGATGTTTGTAAACTAAGTTACATAATACATACATAGACAACCGTATTGAAAAAGCATAAAAACAGGTTCAAAAGCCACTCTCTATTTGTTTGCGGTGTTACCTGGACTCTGGCCCGCACTACGTCCATGGGGTTGGTGATCGTGGAGGCCGTGGCTGCAGCCATTGGTCCCGCGATTGCCTGCAGCAGCAAGTGAGGACAGCTAGAGGGTGCCAAGTAAGACAGCTGCTCTGTGAATGAAAGACATGAAAGACGTTCAGTGATGAACGGGCACATCTCGGCGTAAAGAGGGGGCAACAAGGAAGTGATCATCAATCAAAGTTTATTTGTAGAGCGCCTTTCATACACAGGGCAACACAAAGCGCTTCACAGTCCACATCACAAATCATCACATAAAACAAACACCAGAATCACAATTAAAACATTAAAATCACACAAAAGAATAAAACCATTAAAACTTTCAAAATTACACAAGAAATTTAAATAAATAAATAAATGACAGCAGTGCATTAGAAATGGAGATAAAATCCTTCAGTTGTATGATCATAAAAGACCAGCATGGCCATCTACTGACTCCAGCTCTACAGACGAGCCAGGAAATTATATATACATATTTAAATGCTAAATTGTATTGCTGCTATGCAGATGATCTGCAAATCCATTTGCCCATTTTGTTGAATGGGAGAGATTCTGTCTGATGGACTGCATATCTGACATTAAAATTGTGGCCATAGCAGAAGTTTCTCAAACTGATTTTATTTTGGTTTGGTGATTCAATTGTTTCAGATTTTGGACTGTCGTCATCTTGGTTTGAACCAATGGTCAGAAACCTTGATGTTTTTGATCATTATTTTCATTTTGATTAACAGATTGACAGTGTGGTCAGGTCAAGTTTTTATCAGCTGCGTATTTCAATTAAGGTAAAGCCTTTTTTAAACCCCTCAGACCTGGAAAAGAAATCCATGCTTTTATCAGTTCAAGAATTGATTACTGTAATTCATTTTATTTTGGAGTTCCCCAGTCTTGTTTTAATAGTCTTCAGTTAGTGCAAAATGCTGCAGCTAGCTTTTTAACAAACACACCAAGGCGCCAACACACAGTGATCGGAATAACGGCATTGAAATAAAGCGTTACTAACGCCGTTACTTTTTTCAGTAACAAGTAATCTAACTAATTACTTTGAGTGTAACTATAACGCCGTTATCATTGTCGACACCCCGTTACACAATGAACTTTTTTTTTTTATTCATGAAAGGACTTGTGCAAGTGTTGTCATGAGAGAAGGGAGGATGAGATAACCTCTCAGCAATTATTGGCTGATGTATAGTAAGATTATGTCTTAAGCCAATCAAAGAAATTGGGTAGGTGGGTGTTTCCGCATTCACAGTGGCGGGTGTTTAGTGCTTACAGCACACGGAGAGTGAGGAGGACTCCAGCAGCAAAACAGCCTTTTCCAGATGGAAATATTGACACTATTTCAAACTCACTGAGATAAAGGGTAGGGTGATATTAGCCTGGCTCTGCCAGACCCGTGTAGTTCCGCCATGCTCCATCAGAGGCGTTTGGCTGGGATCGAGCGCATACCAAACTCCTTCAGCAGATCAGAAAATAATTGACCAATCAGGATCGCTAGTGTTAAGTTGGGTTTGCGCCGCCTTCTCAAGCTTGTCTCATATAGTGGGGGCGGGTCCTGGCTCAAAAGTGGCCAAAATGACGTGCGCTGACATGCTTGCAATACCACCCCAGGCCGATGGGGGTGGACCATGGATCTATTGTAATAACTGGATAGGGTATTACTAGCTTGTAGCTGAATAACCCATGTGCTCGGGGGATTCTCGCAGTACTGCAGACTGAACCAGACTAAATTCACGTGGGCTACCCAGAAATGTTCCCCATAGAACTCAATGCATATTAAAACAGCTCAACCTCAGCTGACAGAGAACCTACAGCTTTCATAAAGATCTGTTTTTGTGGGGATTTTAGTGTCCCTTGTCATCCTGAACTTTTTTTCTTCTTAAATCCTTCGGTTTTGTTTAAATCCACACTTTAGTGCCACAAACTCTGCTCCTCTGGCTCTCGCTCTAACTCCCGCTCTGATGAACTGCTCTGATTGGTCAGAGCGCGGCCGAGCCCCTCTGTGCACGTGCGTGAGACCCGGTGTGAGACCCACACACGCGTGTGTTTGGCGCAACGCATTATGGGAGATCATCCACTGCGCAGAACCGGGAGGACCAGACGATGCCCAAATACAGGAGAGTTTCCCATAGATCTTTGCGAGTTTCAGGCAACTTCCGCTAATCTTTCAGCCCCCATGCCGTCACAAAGCGCCACTGAGCACAACCATTCATTTGAATAGGGCGCCATCTTGGATCGCCGGGGCTTGGGGTGGACCTGGAATAAGAATTAGCCAATGCTAAAATATAGCATTAGCTGACCTCTCGAAAACGTCTTCACAGTATGGTCCAAAAGTTGGCTCCCAAAGCTCCATTCCACATGTGTGTCAATGCTGAGGGGAGTGAATTTTTTTGGACCACTCTGATTTAGTTGCTCTGAATTTTTGAAGTCTCTCGTTCAAATGAATGGAGCTGCGCCGGCTGACGCATGCGCAGATGCGTTTTTTCACAATTTTCTTGTGGGCGGGACCACTCGCGGCCATTTTGGATAGCTCCAGTAGAGCACAATTTTTGGCCCATTAGTTTGAACGGCGGAGATAGGCGTGATTACTTCTATACAGTCTATGGTCTCACGGTCGGCACTAGATCATATACGGAATCGGGACGAAACCGGAAGTAACAATCCTACTTTTGAATTAGTTTTAGACTAATAAGTCCTTAAGTGGTGACTGGTTAAGTTTTAGGTGTCTGAGTAAGATGGTTAAGGTTAGGGATAAGGGTGGGTTGGGGTTATTTTATGGGAATGGCTAGTTAAGTTTAGGCATTAATAGGTAGTTTGTTATATTTACTTCCGCTTCCGTATATGATCTAGTGCTGACCATGGTCTCACGCAGCCGTGAAAGAAATCCAAGATGGCGGACATAAAGTCCGCAAATCTTTTTAAAAGTTTAAATACGAACTAATTAAGACACGGATGTCACTTTTAATGCAATATGAGGCGAGATGTTGATGGTTCTATGTTATGTGTGTGTTTTAAGAGTCAAATGTTCGTGTTAAGTTTAAGTGTTTCAATATTTCAACTTTCAAATGACCTGGACCCTGGAGTTGAACAATGGATTAAAATTTGGTGCAAATCCGGCTTGGTTTGTGCAAACGGGAGCAAATTTACTTTTGTCAAAAATGTAAGAAAAAAAAGTCCCATTTTGCCGCTCGGACAACGTTTAACTGATAGAAATTCTTTATTCAACTATTGATGGTACATGTGTTTAGACCATGTGGAGTGATTTTGAGACAAATCGGTGAAACGGCGGAGGAGGAATTGATTTCCAACTAACATGTGTGAAAAAGTTATGGCCCCGCCCCCTGTTTGCCAGGGGGCGGGGCCATAATAACTTTTTTTTCATGTCTTGACTTGAGGAACATGTGTACCAAATGTTGTGGCTCTACGACAAACTTGACCTCCGACCCCCTCCCATAGACGCAATGTAAACTGACTTTTGTAGGGGGAGCTGTTCTGTCTTTTTTTGTCCCATAAAAATAAACACCCAAAATGTTGTTGCCGGTTCTGAATTTTGGGCAAAATTTCACAACTTTTCATCAATGTTCAGGGGGTCAAATTAAGGCTCAAAGCGCAGAAGAAAAAAGAAACCAAGGAATTTTTTTCTGAAAATCTTCGAGCAAAAACTATATAGGTTTCCATAGTAACCTATAATACAAATGATACATCGCTTTAAAGCGCCCGGAGATTGTGACTTATGACAGTTGGGGCTCGGGCCTAAAATTACCCCAGTTGGGGCTCGGACCTAAAAATATAAACACAAGGTTCACAGAGAGCTCTAAATGATGGATTTCTTGAATCCAAAATGGTGAATGTGACAAAACAGTTACTGAGCAAGAAGAGTTTAAGGCAATAGGAGCACCAGGGATGCATCAATATTTCTTCAATGTTGGGTAGTGAGGAGACAGCGTGCTGTAGTGTTGGGGATTTTGGCGGCTTTAATAGCAACTGCAAGTGGAAAACTGATAAGACCCATGGTTTAGGATAAATTTGTATCTTATTTAACTGAACAAGGTATGGTCTCATCAAATGATTATTACAATTAAGTGTTATTTACCATTTATGTTTCATGGTGATTAAATTGTGCTTAAAGAGCGACTAAACACCTGTGCCCAGCCTTACTCCGCCCACATGAAGATTTGAAAATTTTCTCTAAAAAGGGCGTTGCCTGGAGGACTAAGGGACAAGAAGGGGGGCTTAGAGTTAAGCGTGGTCTGGGCTATGATTGACAGCTCACTTGTCACACAAAAAAAAAACAGACAGTTGTCATTGCTGCTTAAAGCAATAGTTTACAGACCAGAAAGTCTCATTCCACCCTTGTTTACACACTAAGATAATTGTAAAGCTACACACCTGAACCTAATCACACTCAATAATCTCAGAATGACTCATGTAATTTAATTTGAATCCACTAGATGGCGCCAGAATACTCCAAACTGCAGCTGGGGCGTGTGTGAGAGTTGAATGGGTTCACATCACTGGCTCTGACAGACTGATGTCACACAAAACAACTGATGTCATAGAGAACTTCAGAGCCAATGGAGAGGCCAGAACCAAATTCAAATGTAGTACCACCAAAAAGGTAGAGAGGGCGCCACACAGCGTTTTTTGGCTCAAAAGTGATATTTTATCTAATTTGAATTTGAATAAACTTAGGCCCAGTCCCAATACCCACACTGCACCCTACGCCCTCCTATGAAGTGTGCATTTGTTTGAAGTGCGCGCAAGGGTTTGAGTGCGCAGGTTGCAAGCGTGCACAAAAGGTGGAATTGGGACATTGCACACTGAGTGCAGTTTACGTCATCGACTCGTCAAGAGATGGTCATTTTAAGACCTAAACTTTATAAAAATTAAAGGTAATTTTGTCTGACCCTTTAGGAAACAATATGAATTGCTTCACACACGTTATAATACATTTATATTAGTTGTTTTTAATTAGAGATAGCGGTATAATTTTAAGTTAAATGTGGGTAACTAACTATCTGGTCAGTTTTTATACATTCTAAGATTATTGTACTAAGTGTAAAGTTTAAATTGAATGTTATAGAAACGCTTGCTTTAAAAAGTTATTAAATTGTTAAAACACAATGTCCGTAATTCTTCATCAGACGTTTATGCTTCTTTCCAAGTAACATAGCAAAACTTATTTACACACATACTGCATATATATTTCAAAATGTATATTTAATTGCATTTTCCCGTCGTTTTGGTGTCCCGTCGCAAAGAATTATGGGCAATATCCTTCGCCAGAGTGTGCATAGATGCAGGCTACGGCGAAGTGTGGATCAGGGGCGCAAAGGGGGCGGGGCCAAAGACCTCCCTGGAGAATTGGGACACCCTACGCACTCGCACACTTTATCGGGAACGCGCAAATGAGGGGCGCGAGGGTGGAAGTGCGAGTATTGGGACGGGGCCATACTTATGCAGTTTATGAGTTAAAAAAAGTGGATTTGGTGTTTAGTCGCTCTTTAAGTATTCAGAAGCTGCACTTATAACATTTCTCCACTAGATGTCAATGCTACAACCTAGTACAGGGGTCTCCAACTTTCTTCAATTGGAGAGCTACTTTTATGCACCATAAATCTATGCAATAATTACGACAAAACACAGAACACATACCATAATACTGTAAAACCCTATATTTATACTTCTAATAGATACGTAATGACTCAAAGTGTATTTATTCAAGATCATTTGTTAAATTCTAAATCCTTTGAGGAGCTACCTGAAAGGGGCTGGCGAGCAAGCCACAAATTGGAGACCCCTGATCTAGTATGAGCTCAGAGGCACATTCCGAACCCTAACAATCTGGCAAAGAAAGCCTCAGTGTTTTACGGGGCTTCATCTGCCCATCACTAGCTATAACTAACACAGACAATTTATTTATTTATAGCAGCTGTAAGAAAAAGAAAAGAAAATGAAAATCAAATCAAATCGTGATCCTAAAATCTAATTGAAGATTCGGAGAATCGTGACACCTCTATTATTTACCTGCATAACAGTGATAGAAAGGCCACCAGAGGGCACTGTTGGGGATGTATGTGAGCAGCGAGGCCACGTATCCCCGGTAGAACCCTCGGAAGCCGTCCTCCGCAAATATCTGCACCGTGATGTCCCGTGTCTGTCCGAAGGTCCAGCGGCTTTTTGACTGTGCCGCCAGCATCATCTTGGATCGGACTTTGAAGCGGCTTAGGTGGTCCCCCTGTCCCTGCATCATGAGGTGCTGAGACACGATGTCGATGGGGACCGTGATGGTCTGAGCCACGAGCGATGCCGAGCCACCGGCCACAATAGACTTCACCATGTTGTCCTGGGAGACGGGACAGCCATATGCAATATAAAAGGCAAGTCAACATGAAGAAGGATTAGTTTATTTTGTCTGATATTAATGTTTTTCTTGAAGAATTTCTTGATTTTGGTAATATTCTTGTCTATCCAGTGTTTAACCAAGACAGCAATAGATATAATTTATTCCCAATTTATTCCCAATTACATGTTGCTCCCAAAACAGTCCCAGCCTACATGCAGGCGTTGAGCAGATTGAGCCTTGTGACACTTTCAAACGTGTCTCGTAACTTTGCCTTAGCACTCAACAGCCTGTAAATAAAATTGCTATCTACTTTACATTACTACTCTTTTATTAAGTAGAAATGTATAATAGCATACTGCAAAAGCAACCGGTCAAATATTGTACTAAAATATCAACTTTGAGCATTTGATTTCCACACAGGCTCAACTGCAGCAGCATAAGTCATTTAATTTCTGCATCCATCCATCCATCTTCTTCCCCGTAATCCATTTCATGTTAGGGAGAGTGGCATTCAGAGCTGCACCCAGTACACACAGCACCAGGCTCCTGCAGGTGGTGAGTCCACAGGAGGACGGCTTTGAAAAAGTAATTAGTTACAAATTACTAGTTACTTAATAAAAAATGTAAAATAAATAAAAAATTGTTACATTACTTTTGGATTACTTTGTGTCACAAAATAAGAACAGAATCATGTTTGTATGAGTGCTTTATTAAAGTAATTTAAAGAAAGATGAACTACAAATAAGCAATAGCTGGCTCAAATGGCAGAACATTAACATGAAAGTAAATGTAGCCAGGACAATTGCTGTAGCACTTCTCCAGACAGTGTTGACACTGCAAGTGTTTTAAGAGGTTCGAGGACGAGTTGGCTGAATATAGTTAAAATGGTGCATGGCTTTTCCACCGGTAAAACAAAACAACGTGACATAAGCACCAGGCAGCATACAGTCTGACTTCCAATTTGGACACAACCTATGGTTTTACCCTGTTTTTTCCCGTTGGCTCGGTGCTTACTGGAGTTTGATGTGGAGTCCTTTGATATTTTTCTTCCCACGCAGTTTACGGTGGACGCTGATACTTTTGTCACGGCCTCGTACTCAAAGTAATACCAGTATCTCCATGAATGAATTGCTCCGCAGTCTTCCTCGCTAACATCCTTTATGTTGCCGCTTGTAATATTTACAGTTTGTCACGTCGCAGTGGTCGCAGCTCTCATACAAGGTTAATTTGTCAAACAAAAGTCACAACACTCACAGTTCGGTAACGTATTGTAACGCTGCTTGCTTAGAAGAAAGTAAATGTAATCACATTACTTTTGCGGATGTAATTCCTTACTTTACTCATTACTCAGAAAAAGTAATTGGATTACAGTAACACATTACTTTTATCATGTTACTGACCAACACTGTCAGTGACATCACAGCCTTGATCTTTCAGGCTTTGGGCAAAGTGGGGTTACGTTTTTTGCCCAAGGACAGCAGACATCAATGGGAGTCGGTGGAGAAGGTCTTGTGGTGGGCTTAAACTCACGACCTTCAGGCTCAATGGCCAATGCTCTACCAAATGAGCCACTGTCGCCATCGCCTAGTCAATTCATTTCTGAAGCACTATTAAATGCATTGTATTTCCTAAACCAAAACAAAGAAATATGTGCAGAGGGACCGATTGCTTTGTCACAATGATCAACTTGAGGGAGTGGCCTTTTTGTGTCCTAATACATACAATTCTAATATGGGCACCATCGGGACAGTTTTATGCTAAAATCCAGAAGTCTTCCTAATAATGTGAGACAGGCTTTTACTCTGACAATGTTCAAATCTAGATCAAAAACAGTTCTGTATAGCTGCTCATACAACTGAAGGATTATATTTTTACTTTTTAAAATGTACTGTGAACATTATTAATTTTAATGCCTTGTTTTAGTGCCTTGTGCACTTTGAGTTGTCTTGTGTATGAACTAGGAGTGTGACATGATATTGATATGGTGATGTATCGTGATACTTTCTCACGCAAACGATTATCGATATGCTTTTTCCAAGTATTGATTTTTTTTAAATCAATCAAATCAAAGTATTGATACTTAATATGTGGCTACATTACGCATTCTACAATTTCTGTAGAATGTTCATATTGATTTTATTGGATGTAAGACAGATTAAGTACAATTTTTACTAAAATTTGCAGGTTAAAAGGCATTTTTGCGTGTTCACTTTAATGTTACACATGACACTTTCTCCATTTATCTTGAAATAAAGTGTATTTTTTCACTTAATCTATGCCATAAATATAAGACAAATATTATCATAGGTATATTTTTGACCAATATATCGATAATCGCTGCATCGTCAAATCCTAGTATGAACTGTGTTATACCTATTCACTTGCATTACCTAATATAAGCACAGCTTTTCCTTGTGCTCTTAAATGTATCTGCTGGCCATGTTTCAGTAGTATCCGGTATACGTGGTTATACTTCAAAATCAGCCAATTTAAATCATTTTGGGTTTTTTCTCACAGTAGTTGGAATCTTGCCATTCCTTCAGTCCCGATAATTGCGGTTTCTCACCTGGGAGTAGTTGGAGACGTACTTCCTCACGAGTTCATAAGTGGTGATGTAGGCTTGTCCCGATATGAGGGTGAACGTGTTGACCATGAAGCCGCGGTATAGGCCACAGACGCCTTCGCTCTTCAGGATCTTACAAAATGCATCGGCGGTCCCAGAGTACAGAGACTTCCCTTTCTGCACCTGGAGCCGGGTCCGAATCAGGCTGAAGGGGTACACCGTGGCCCGCGTGGTCAGTGTCATAAACACGCCCAGGGAGTAGAACTTCCTCTTGTCCAAATCCTCCCATTCTATGATTTTAATCACTCCTTTTTGCTGCATTGCATCCAAACAAAGCAGCGCCGTGCCGTTAAAATGTTACGCTCAAACTTCTGTTAGTCTGCAGTAGCAAATCTCCAGAATCCATTGTGCCTGTACAGAGGAGCAATGACAAAAACAGCGATGAGGAAGATGAGAAGTCAGAGGTATTCAAAGAGGACAGGACATGCAAATGCATCCGATGTCCCCTCCCTCACCTATGGTCATGAGCCTGGGATAATGACCGAAAGGACAAGTGCTCAACATGAGTTTCAAAAAAATATAATAAATAAATGTATTGCCATCATTTTAAATACAGATAAGGCACAGACCAAACACAGTCAAAATAACTAAACAAATTAAACCTATTGCCATGCCCAATGGCCATCAACATTACATGCAGCAGACCATATACAACAGTAAGGGATTGGACAATCTGCTTTTAAATTACTATAAATTACGATAAATAACACCTTACCCCACCAATTGCTCTACCCATCTAATCACTTGGTCAATGTGCAGTGACCATGACAGATGGCGATCGACTATAACTCCTAAAAGTATTCTTGTATAGCCCTGAATCACAGTAGTTATCTCAGAAGACTTAACAAAACCGTTGAATTTGCCAACACAGATCAGAAACAAGAAAAAAGAAAAATGGGGCGACAGTAGCTCACTTGGTAGAGCATTGGCCTTTGAGCCAGAGGGTCGTGGGTTTGAGCCCACCATCATCATAGACTCCCACTGTCTGCTGCCGTTGTGTCCTTGGCAATACACTTTACCCCCATTGCACTAGAGCATATACAATGATGATGTGTACCACATCTCAATAGCTCTATAGACCATTGCTATCCTAACAGAACTACGTTGTGCCCAGTGTCCCAGATAAAAGAAAAGGCAATGGGTCGCGTTAATCTTACTTACGGTATCTACTGATAATACCTAGCTAACTATTATACCACCTGTTTAAAGAACATTGTGTACTTTTGCAATCCGTAACATTTACAATAACGCTACACATTACATTATCAAGAATGTTTTTTATAAAGTGCAAGTTGCTGCTTGTAACTTGTTATGTTGTTGTTCTAAAACAGTGAACAAAAGTAAGTAACGTTAACTTGGCAAAATCAGGAAATGTCAGGTTTGGTGTTTGGTTAGCACACACGCTAATGCTAATGCAACCTTCATTTTTATATGTACTCAACTTCACTAAACATCATATTGAAGACGTTTAATGAGCCGTGCATTATCCAAAACGAGAAACCATTGTATGTTCACTGTCTATTTAAAGCGAAGCGAAAACACGTGCAATGTCACAGAGTGGAGTTAGCTTGCGAGCTAGCACTGTCACTCTGCAGCAAGTTAGCATCGACAATAAACCACCAACAATGTTATTCTTATGAGATCGGCGAGGTCAGAACTCACCTCTGAGAACCACCCCGTGTCTGGAGGTCAGCAAGGTCCTCCACTGGGTTAGTCCTTGTTTGAGTGCTTGTTCTAGGCCTGCTCTGATCTGTGTGTCTTCGAGGTCCATTGCCAACAGAGAAAGGGCAAGCACGATTTGCGACTCACGGCAACTTCCGGTGACTCGCGTGACTCAGGAGCTGTGAGTCGCGGCTCAGCAGGGGTCGTGGCTCACGGTTATCAATAACACAATTCTTTGCTTTTTAGGGTTATCTGTGAATTATTAATGACAGAATATGGATCTGGAGTAATAGTTTACATGTAATCAGTAGTTACACACTCATCAGCTGCGATGCGTTTGTCTGATGTAGTGACGTCACTTCACAACACGCCTCTTGCAGGCCGCAGAAAGACCCTCGTCGGACCCGCAGCAACACCTTTTTGAATGACGGTAAACAGGTGTGGGCTCATTCTAAACACTTGCATGTTGGTTCAATGACAAATAAATCTCGAGTCTGGGCACTTGGCTTGCTTTGTCATTCACGATTTACAGTAATTTAACTATAAGGACACATTGGTGCAAGTGGCTTTTATAATGGTGCTTGTTTTATGTATTTTTTCAAGTGCCTTGAGCTTGATAAATAAATAAAAAATAATAATGTCTTCATTTCTTATTTGACAAAAACCTGTGTTACAATATACCTTGCTTCATCTTATGTCCTATGAATTATACACTGCTGCACATTTGATTGATTTCGTGCGTTCTTTGAAGCCACAGAATCAGAACCTATGAAGAAGAATATATTTACATAGATAACATACCACAAGTTAAAGACAAATGCTTTGAGATGTACAGATAACCTCAAGCAACAAAACTTCAGAAATGAACAGATTTTTCTCTCACTACGACAGTTAGTACAAGTAGTAGTAGTGGCACTGGGGAGGAGAAGTGCAGCATCCACAACTTGTGAAGCCCCAAGTGCAAGCAATATAGAGCCCAAAACCTGCTGGAGGTTTTTCTAGGTAAAATATTTTGCACAGTATTTTTCATTTGGTGTTTTATTTATTTCTAATGTCTGTTGACATTTATAAGTAAAAAAATCTTCAGGTAAAAATAAGTTATTCATTTAAAACACGAGAACATTCCCCTAGGCAGAAGTAAAAAAAATAGATACATCTAAAAACAAAGAGTACCAGCACCTTTTTGGGACATTTAAAGCACTGCCACTATTAGTAAAACAACAACCACTGCCTGGAGTACTACTACTATTACCAATAATATTATTAATAATAATAATGATCATAATAACAATTGTTATATTTATTATGTTTGCCCAATGTAATAATCCATCTCAGATCGAGCAAAAAAACAAACTAACAAAAACTCCCACAATGATTATGGGAAAGCTAAACACGTTTAGTTTTTTTTAATGTCATGGCCTTTAAAATGTTCACAAAATGTCCAACGTAGTGCAGGATTCAACCTTTTATTATATTTCATTCATTTATAGGTCGGGAGGTGGCAATCAGAGCTTTCACCCATTCCACCAGTCCCTCTCTGATCCTCCTACAAGTGGTGGGTCCACAGGTAGATGGCTGCTGAAACAGGCATAGTGGGGTTAGGTGTCTTGCCCAGGGACACAACAACAGCAGAGATCAATGGGAGCAGGTGACATGGGCCGTGGGGGATCGAACCTATACGACCATCAGGTCCAAAGACCAAAGCTCTACCAATTGAGCCACTGTATATTTTTTTTTCACCGCAAGCCACGACTTAAGACTGCTGAGCCGCGACTCACAGCCTCTGAGCCGCTACTCACAGCTCCTGAGTTAAACTCGCGAGTCACCGCAAGTTGCCGTGAGTCGCAAATTGTGCTGGCCCTTTCTGGGCCAACAAGCCACTAGCACCAAACAGGAACGCGAAAGGTCATTAAAGATTATAAAGCAGCAAAATAAAAAATACATTCACATTCTTGTATGGCAATAGTGTTACGCCGCTGTAATAGTAATTTATAAGCAAAAAATGAATTAAAATAGAAACAAAAAACTTTAAAGGGGAGCTGTGTAATTTTTCTGATGGGGTCAGTACCTGTATGTTGCCATGGAGACGTTGTGAATTGAGAGGAGTGTAGTATCCTTGTCATTAAAGAAGTCATAAACACCGGGTGGCTTATACAGGGTTTAATCATCATTTGGTAGCCAACAACATAACTGAACAGAGCCCGCCAAGTGCACTCCTTTTATCCAACCTTATCCCACACTGCCACCAATAGGTTAGTGGTAAAATAACACTTTCTTATATTACACTCCTCCCCCCTTAAGCAAGTACTATTACTACTGTAACGAATTAACCAAAACAAAACAAAAACAAACTGTTTGCCATGCCATCTTCAAAACACAGTTAACTTTAACTTTACTTGACACTTAACCTAGTAACGGTTTTCTTTTCTTTTCTTTCTTTTTTTTTTTTTCGTTTACTTCCCACAGACATAGTATTCCAGAAAACTGAGTTTAGACCATAGACTGTATATATTAATGGACAGAGTCACGCCTATCTCCGCCGTTCTAACCAATGGGCCAAAAAATTTGCTCTACTGGAGCTATCCAAAATGGCCGCGAGTGGTCCCGCCCACAAGAAAATTGTGAAAAAACGCATCTGCGCATGCGTCAGCCGGCGCAGCTCCATTCATTTGAATGAGAGACTTCAAAAATTCACAGCAAGTAAACTAGAGTGGACCAAAAAAATTCACCCCCCTCAGCATTGACACACATGTGGAACGGAGCTTTGGGCCAAGAGCCAACTTTTGGTCCATCTTGTAAAGACGTTTTCGAGAGGTCTGCCAATGCTTTATGTTAGCATTGGCTAATTATTCTTTTGGGTCCACCCCCATCGGCCCGGGGTGGTATTGCAAGCACGTCCGCGCACGTCATTCTGGCCACTTTTGAGCTGGGATCCGCCCCCACTGGTTTAGACACAGTTCGTTGAGACCGGCGTACAGGCACCACCAGCAGTGCTTCCCTCACTGTCTCTGGAATGACCACCATTGATGGAGTAGTTATGTCCCTGAGTTGTGGATTCCCTTCCGGAGCACCACTCGCGCTTACTGCTCCAGGTTCCTCTGACATTCTCTTGATTGAAAAGCTCATGTCTCTAGGTTTAAGTGTTGCCATGTGTAAATGGATTTTTAGCTTTTTAACTGATAGATCTCAGAGAGTGAAAATCAATGACTGTTTTTCAGATGTTGTTTCTGTGAGCACTGGATCTCCTCACGGATGTATTTTGAGTCCTTTACTTTTTACATTGTACACTCACGATTGTGTGTCTTCCTCTGACTCAACCTGATCATTGAGTGGCTGCATAGACTATGCAGCCACTATATGCTATCCTACTGTTTATTCTTCTTCTTCTTCTTCTTCCACTTCCGCCAGATTTTGGCACTTTTCAACTCTTCAACGCTTTCACCAAATTATACATCGTTACGTCCGGCTTCACTGTCTTATTATTGCTATTACTTTTCACACTTCCACCTTTTGCACTTTGTCAGATATTAACAAAAGTTCAAGCACTTTTTCCCATTGACTTACATTGGACCAGTACAACAGATTACTCCCCATACAACACATTACCACACTAACAATTCATTACCACAGATACAATACATTACAACATCTTACAACACTTACAGCACCTTACAACACATTTAGCACTTTACAACAAATTCAACACCTTACAACACATTTAGCACTTTACAAAAAATTCAACACCTTACAACACATTTAGCACCTTACAACACATTCAACACCTTACAACTTATTTAGCACTTTACAACACATTCAACACCTTACAACACAGTCAGCACTTTACAACACTTACAGCACCTTACAACACATTAAGCACTTTACAACAAATTCAACACCTTACAACACATTTAGCACTTTACAACACATTCAACACCTTACAACTTATTTATCACTTTACAACACATTCAACATCTTACAACACAGTCAGCACTTTACAACACTTACAGCACCTTACAACACATTAAGCACTTTACAACAAATTCAACACCTTTCAACGTATTTAGTACTTTACAACACATTCAGCACTTTACAACACATTTAGCACTTTACAACACATTTAGCACTTTACAACACATTCAGCACTTTACAACACTTTCAGTCCCTTACAACACATTCTTCTTACTTCTTCACTTCTTCCTCTTCTTCCCCTTCTTCCTCTTCTTCCTCTTCTTCCCCTTTTTCCTCTTCTTCCCCTTCTTCCTCTTCTTCCCCTTCTTCCTCTTCTTCCTTCTTTCCCTTTTTCCTCTTCTTCCTTCTTTCCCTTTTTCCTCTTCTTCCTCTTCTTCCCCTTCTTCCTCCCCTTCCTGTTCTTCCCCTTCTTCCTCTTCTTCCTCTTCTTCCTCTTCTTCCCCTTCTTCCCCTTCTTCCCCTTTTTCCTCTTCTTCCTCTTCTTCCCCTTCTTCCCCTTCTTCCTCTATTTCTTCTTCTTCCCCTTCTTCTTCTTCCTCCTCCTCTTCCTTCTTCTTCTTTCCTCTTCTTCCCTTTTCTTTCTTCTTCCTTCTTCTTCCCCTTCCTCTTCCTTCTTCATCCCTAACCCTTCCAACATCTATGCAGCCACTCACAATGGCTTCAGCCATTGTACCATTTCTAGGTAAATATGCTGATGACACCACCATCATCGGTCTCATCAGTAACAATGATGAATCCTCTTATAGAGCAGAGATACAAAATGTGGTTCAATGGAGTAAAACTAACAACTTCCAGCTGAACGCATCGAAAACATGTGAACTGGTCTTCGACTTCAGTCGTAACAGTTCTCACACTCCTGTTGCTATCGACAACTCCCAGGTGCAGATTGTAGAAGAGTGCACGTTTCTGGGTTTAACTCTGTGCAATGACCTGAAATGGGTTAAAAACACTGACCGAGTGGTTAAGAAAGCTCGTCAGCGTCTCTACTTCCTGCGAAAACTTAGAAAATGTACTACTAACTCTAAGATTCTGCTTAACTTTTATCACTGCACCATTGAGAGTTTGCTTGTTGATTCTGTGACTGTGTGGTTTGGAAACATCACAGATAAAGAAAAGGGAGCTTTAAACAAGGTGCTCCGCTCTGCAAAGAGGACCGTGGGCTGTGAGCTTCCTGTTCTGGAGGTTCTTTATGAATCCAGACTTTTAAACAAAGCTCTTAGGATTGTCAATGACTCTTCTGGCCACCCTGGAAAAGCCATGTTCCAGCTTCTTCCCTCTGGCAGAAGATATCGTTCGCTGAGATGCAGGACATCTCGTTATGCTAACAGCTTTTTTCCACAAGCTGTTATCAGTTTGAATCAATCAATCAATCAATCAATCCTTTATTGTCTCACAGATAGAGAAATTCAGTTCGATGAATAAACATCAAGGCCTGCTGCGGACAACATATCCGCGCTCCTTATGTCATTTATTCAACAGCAGAGAGCAAAACAAACATATATTTCAACAGAAATTATTGGATGGAAACAGCGCATGCGGGAAAAGCATACAGATCTTTTTTAAAGGGACATTGTCACTCCGACCCGCCTCGTCCAATATGGCGTGTCAGAGGGGGAGTGTGGATGGGGGAGGTGGAGGGGAAGACCACCATAGACAGAAAGAGAGAGAGACAGACATGTAGAGGGAGGGGTGAGCCAACAACTGGTATACTGATGAGTCTGTGAGTTATGAGAGAGTCCATCTTCTTCTGCCTTGAAGGCCGGCTGTGCGGTGGAATGTGGAGGACAAAGATAAGAGCAGGTGCCTACGGACGTGGGAGACAAAACAACACATATGCCTTGCGGAAATTTGTGAAGCACTTTAGCTGGTCAAATCAAAGGCAGTGTAGACTTCAATACCAAGTAAGTCCAAATTAACTGGAACTGGATCCCTCTGTTCACCGTTATCCAGAGTTGACCACGTCAGTGCGAGTGTTCGCCATGAGACCCAAGTCCTTCAATCAATCCCTCCAAACGTTTATGTCCTTCCATAGACCTCACTCCCAGGTCTCTAAGGGAATGTTCGATCTGCGGCTTGATGCGGGGCGGCTTTATGCGGGGAGCGGCTTGGTGCGGGGCGGCTTGGTGCGGAGCGGCTTGATGCGGAGCGGCTTGATGCGGAGCGGCTTGGTGCGGAGCGGCTTGATGCTGGGCGGCTTGGTGCTGGGCGGCTTGGTGCGGAGCGGCTTGGTGCGGAGCGGCTTGGTGCGGAGCGGCTTGGTGCGGAGCGGCTTGGTGCGGAGCGGCTTGATGCTGGGCGGCTTGGTGCTGGGCGGCTTGGTGCGGGGTGGTGCGCGCGGTGCGGGCGGAGCGGCAAGGGCCGTTTGACGCCGCTTGCGGCTTTAATTTTTTTTATTTCTGTACTTTTAATGTTGTGTTATGTCTGTATTTGTCAGTGCACACAGGCGACTTTTTGCTAATGTATTCCAATGTGGTTTTTTTTACTGCAAATGACAAATAAACTGAATCTGAATCTGAATCATTGGTGTAGCGTCAGCCAACACTAGTGGTACTGTCGGAGGTCCGGTTCCCTCCGGTTCAATAATGTCTTTTTGTTCAGGTCTGTCCAGAATCTGGTCCACATGCCTACACACTATGGAACCATCCCCTAACATGACTTTGTAAGACACAGGGCCGGTGACTTTGGTAATGAAGCGTTGGATCCACTTGGGCCCATAACTAAAGTTTTGTGTCATTGTAATGAGATAGAATCGGTAGAGCATGTACTGATATATTGTAATAGGTATGCAAGGTCCAGACAAACGATAAAGCAAGATATACAAGAGCAGGGGTTGGAGTTCACAATGACAAATGTTTTACAGAAGCTATACCCAATGTTTTTTCTAATGAGTTCATAAAAAGGCTTATTACTACATACAAGTTGTATTATAATCCGTAATTTATTTGATAACTTGAGCTCATTGATTTAGCTGTGTATGAACTCAGGCCGTATAAAAGTGCTGAGTAGAGACTAGCGGGCCGCTCATCCTGCTCCACTCACAGAACGAGCCTGCGTCCTCTAGCCTCTACGGCGCTGCTAAAAACAGTAGCATGTTAGTAGAATTGGCTATAGCTCCTCTTGCTGTAACTGCATACACAGCAAAACACCCCGAACGACACAACAGGGAGGAAGAGAAGAGGGAACTAACGTGAAAAAATGATCAAAGAAGAAAACAAGCCCGGGTGAACATGGCTAGCTTACATTGTATCCTCTGGAGAGACTTGTCTATGGGAGAGACCTGTGGGACTGCCTCGGACTATCTATGCTTCGGATGCGAAACTAGTGGTAATCTTTCAGTTCTACGTCATGGTGCTACGTCCCTTAGGACTTCGCTAGTGGGATATCACTCGTGACCCCCAGGTCACACGCCAGAGAGATCAAAATAATTTGCTCCAATCACCAGCCACCTTCCTCTATAAATGCCCCTGCACAAGGCCGCACCCCCTCTTTCACTCTGGCGCCGATTGAGATCTATCGTTCAATTTTACCAGAGAAAAAGATGTCTTCTGATGCTCGTCCGAGTTCCCCTTCGCCATCCGGCGTCGGACGTCGTCGTTGCTCGACTTGTCGGGTCAAGCTCCAGCGCAAGGACCAGCACTCCAGCTGCTTCGTGTGCCTGGGTTCGGGCCATGCGGCGTTGAGCGCCACCTGCGCCTCGTGTCTCGCTCTCCCCAGGGAGGAGAGTGAACGCAGGCGCGCGTTCTTCGCCGCTACAGCGCCCCGTCCGGACTCCTCTCAGGACGAGGAGTCTGTGATTGACTGGGCCCCTCTCGACCTTCCACCCGTACCCGCGGAGTGGGGTGACTGCGAGGACGGAGAGGTTTCGGAGGTCGGCTCTCTCCTCACGCTGGACGAGGTGGTGTCCAACCCGGAGCCGGACCGCTTCCCGCTGGACCACATGCCTGGGCTCTACTCCACGGCGGCGGCCATCATGGATGCGCCCTTGCCACTGCAACCGAACCAGAGGGTGGAGGACTTCACCTCTGGTTACGCCACCACTCGAGGGAGGAGGAGGACGCAGCCCACGTTGTGCCCGCGGATGGACCCGATCGTCCATTACGCGACACGTGAGTGGCCAAAGCCCCTAGCGGCCAAGAGGCCCGCTTTGGGGTACGGCATGTACTGCAACGTGCAGGACTGGTCCTGGACCGTCGGGGTCCCGGACATGGAGGATTCGGTTCGAGTGGCCCTGCACCCCTCCGCATCCGTGTGGCCCGGCACCAGACCTCTCCTTCCCTCCGAGTGGGACAGGATGTCTTTGGCGATGCACGACAGATGTTACGCCAATGCGGCACAGGTCGTCGCTGTGGCGAACAACATGGCCTTCATCACCGGGGCCCTGGATAGGTCTCTCTCCTCTGACCAGGCGCTCAGTGGAGACACCTTATCTCAGGCGAGGACCACTTCAGCGGCGATCCTGCGCATGTGCCAGGCGCTAGCTGTCGATGGCGGCCGCACCATGGCAGCAGCACAAGTCGGGGCCAGGCACCTCTGGCTTGGGCTTGCTAACATCAGAGAGGCGGAGAAGAGGCAGCTGCTGGACCTGCCCATCTCCCAGACGTCGCTCTTCGGTCCAGAGATGCAGACCCTGACGACTAGGCTGGACACCGCAACTAAGGACTCTGCTAGCCTAGCCCAGCATTTAGCAACGAGGCGCGAGGCCCGCCCTCCAGCGCGGAGCCGAGACAGAGGCAGGGAGCGCTCGCCCGGCAGGCGCCCCGGGCCATATCCACGCTCCGTGGCTCATCGTCCCCCAGCGACGAGGCCCCCAGGTCCAGACAGACACACGGGAGGCTCGCGGGACCAACGTACCCACTGCCGACCTCCCTATGGCAGAGGAGGTCGGGGCGGTAAGAATTCGTTCAATAAAAGCCGACTGGCATTTCATCAGTACTCGCTGTCTGAGTCTCATTTGGGGGTATGTAACATGTCAAATGATCTGAAATCTGTTTGTGGTACTTTTTGAGCACATAACGTGGCGCCGCTAGGCCTGCAGCCCCCAGAGAAGGGCGTGCAGCGCGCTACGCGGGCCACGAGCTCCGATTCACGGGTGCTCGGCTAGGCCCTCCCAGAGAGGCAGGCGGAGGGATCTGGTGAGTAATAAGGTGTGTGCTTCGGCCGAACGCGTGTTAGCATCTCCGAGCTACGAGGCTAACACGGGGTTTCCCACTCCAGGGGCCCCCCCCCCCCCTCCATGAGGCAAGAGCCAGGGGGGGGCACAGCAGCCGAGTCACGTGTGGTGAGCAGTCCCGTACTTATGACGTCGGGCCTGCAGAACACGTGACCGCCCCCGGCGCTCACGGTGTGACGCAGGGGCCCCCCCGGCCCTTTCAGCCACCCCCCCTCCCTGCTAGGAACACCAGGAGAGGGCGGGGCCGTGACGTCTCGTGTTCCAGCTCCCGTTCCGCCCCTCACAGACTTCTACAGCATCTGGAGGGAGCAGGGCTTACTGACAGATATTTGGCTGGAGAAAACTTTGCGCAGGGGTTACGCACTGCAATTTTTCCGAAAGCCACCACCATTCCGAGGCGTACGGGCAGTACGCTCTCAGGTACGGGGATCGATAGAGGCACTACAAGCGGAGGTCTCCTCTCTGCTGAGTCGAGGCGCAGCAGTGGAGGTAGACCCG